ATCAGTTCGATGACATCAACCTTTACAGTTAAAGTCTGTGAATGAAACAGGTGGACAAAAATGCATTTTAATATAGTATTTCAAATTGTGTAATTATTCACCTACCTTTCCTGTAACTGTGTCAACTGTGGCTTTGCCACCCTCTTTTTTGGTGAGTTTACCCTTGAGGTACATCTCATCAGCATCAACCACAAAGTAGGCTGTTTTGGCATCAAAAGGAGTGTTTTGTGCCTCAATCCTCTCTCTCTCTGGCTTCCGGAGGTAGATGGCCGCCGGGCCATATTGCTCCATTTCCGCGTCTGTGCTCATGGTGGCACTTTAGTCGAGACTGAAAAATGAGAGTCCATGATAGTTAACATATCAACATGCAATCTCTGTGGTGTATTTTCCATCTGATATTGGAGATTTCATGCGTTTTTTTATGGTGAGCTTATACCTCAGCTCGTTTCAAAAAAGAATGAGCGGTGTAGTCTCTGGAGGAGTCTCAAGATGCTATGAAAAGATAATTAAACACAAACACATAAAGTTTAGTTGGTTTTTCATTTAAATTTAGTTGTGGAAATTCTATCAATTTAAGAACATTTAGATGAGACTGAGAAGGTGGAAGTTCAAAAGAGTCTATAATTGTGTTGAATGATTTTAGTAGTGTTCGTATTTGAATATTATGGAGATTGTTCTATTGCAGAAATGTCTTACCTCCGTATGTGAACTGAGTGGCACAGTTGTGTTGTTGCCCAAGGATGCTTTTCAAGAGAGATTGGGATGGTCATTGGATAGGACACAAAATTAAAACATTTTACACTGCCTAGCAGTTACACTACTTAAATTTTAACATATTTGTGGAAGCTTTTATGGCTCAATAAGCCTTTACAATTAATTCTGTTATGTGAGTACCTATACTACTATCAAGACCATTTTCATAGCCTCATCAGTGAATCCAAAGTGTTTTTATATTTCAAAGAACATCAAATTACAGGTTCATTGCAAAGCTTTTCTAGGTTAAGAGTAGTTGAACTCTTAAGAGTAGTTGCCAAATTTATTTATAAATATAAATAAATATTTGTAAATAATATCTTTGATTAAAAATATTATCTCTTAAAGATTACTTGACATGAAAAACATAACAAACAGAGTCAGTTAGATAACAAAGAGTCATGCAATATTTATGAAATATTAAGTAAAATAGAATTTGAGAAGTGTAAAGACACGCAAAGCACTAACCTGTGTGGGATGCCTTTCAGTTCTCAGAGGAGTCTGAAGCTACTTCTTATATAGACGCTGGAACTGCCTGGTCAGCAGCAGCCTGCCTCTCAATTTGGTCAAACATCCCTGTCATCTCAAGAATCATCTTGTGACATTGCAGGTTTAGTAGGCTTTTTGTGTGTGTAAGATATAACATTGCTTAATTTTTGAAACAATATTTAAACAAGACAACTGAAAAATGTTAAATCACTCCAGTAAGCCAAGATAAGAATTTTAGTACAATTTTAATAAGACTGAAAATTAAAAGATAGAAACTAAGCTAATAGAAAAGGTTCAAATTGTATTATATCATTAGGTACTGTATATTTTAGTCTCTCATGTTTTATGTATGGTACACAATAAGATCAAAACATAACTAATTTTACAAATAAAGATTTAAATAATCTATTATTGGAGTTGTGCCTTCACATCCCTTTTTTAATGCATAAACTGTTTGCTCTTAGTAAGATACACTTAAATGTCATTGGTATTGAGTGTCAGTGTCAGCATATCCACATTTCAGATCTTTGAAATACATTAAAACTGAGTATCATGGAGATTTTATGAGTATCGCCAATATCTGTAAAATAACACTTAGCTTTGCTACTTTATATCCCTCACACATGATACATTAATTTTGAAGAGAATGCCATATAACATTATTATCATGCAGTGAGTTTCATAGAGAAGCATTGGATTTAACTTTCTTTCTGCTTACAAAATGTAGGAGTGATGGTAATAAAGTATGTCCCCAAAATAGTTGCTGTGCAATAGACACCCTGGTTTTTGAACCACTAATTTGCTCCAATAAATAATTTACTCATATAAATTTAGATTCTGACTAACTTGAGAGGGATTTCATCGTTTTATAATGAGATGTTGTCTGTACTTACCCTTGCAATGAAACATGCTCATAGCCAGGTTTGGAACTTAATTTTGGAGAAGCACCCAAGTGGTGCTGGTATACAGTTGCAGGCCATTGGCACATCTCATATTCCTCTAATAAAATTGAATGTAAGGCCCTTTCCATGAAGTTCAAGTGGTATGACACCTTGCCTTAAAAGGACAAGAAAGATGTTTGCCAACCAGGCTGAGATAAGACCTATATTAAGTCCTACTTGGATATCAAAGCTCTTTATCCTGGTGCCACATTTGATTCAAAGGATGTTGTTGGTGTTATGGAAACTCAGTGTCCTTGAAAAACTATGCAACTCTGGTTTTCAGACATTGCTGGCATTGGCTCCAAAATCAAATTGCCTACATAACTGTGAAAATAACAATTGTCCAAGTGTCTTTTGCATCTATTAACACTGAATTACACAATAGTTTTAATATCATTTTTATAACTTAATATTCAACCTTGTAACTATAAACTGTAAACTTACCAAACCTTTTAGAAATTGCAGCCCCCTTAACTGTTCACAGTTGGCTTATTCATTTATATTTAAACAATAATAATAATTACATCTCATGTATCCTAATACAGTTCTTTTCAGTCACTAACAAGCATTTGTCCAACCAGTTGTCACATTTTCAAAACTCTAAACACAATTAGCAGAGCATCAGTGTTTTGTGGCCATACCATTCACACATTTCATGTCGTTTTCACACAATATGCAGTCAGTGAACACATTTCCACAATGCTTACATTTTCTTAACAGACAAGCTATACCTCCCAACAAAATTATGGATTGTTTTTGTATTATTTACGAATGTTAACACACAACATCCCACAATAGCAAAAACAATATTCCAAACCTTAGATACAGTATAAAAACCTCTGCTTCTGCAATGATATATGCAGTTCAAAAACAATATATCTCAGCTGATAATAAACAAACAATTGAATAATTGACACACAGCTGATTTATGTTGGGTAAACTGGGCCAACCACAGCTGATTCCAGTCTGGCTTAGACTCAGTGGCAGGGGTTATTTTTTTCTATTACATTGACACTTATACAGTAAAAGGAGGACTTTGAGGAGTGATGTTTTTGGAAACAGAAACAGAAAAAGACAAACACTGTAATGTCTGGATGAGGAAGAGTAAGAGCAAGGGGCCCAGGGAGAAGAGCAGGCCCAGTGAGAGATGCAGTGAGAGGTGCAGGAGCAGTGAAAGATGCAGTGAGAGGAGCAGCTGCAGTGAGAGGAACAGGGCCAGAGAGAAGAGCAGGCCCAAGGAGAGGTCAAGGTAGAGGTGTAAGAATGCGTTGTGGTGGCATTCCAAGGGCTGCAAGAACAGTAGTCAGTGATGAAATTCGTGCCACTATCATTGACCATGTACTCAACCACGGTCTTTCACTAAGAGAGGCTGGTGAAAGAGTGCTCCTGTAGTAAACAGTAAAGGAAAAAAAAAATGATTTGCTTTTTACTGGAATGCTTTTGAATGTGAACATTACATGTGGACATACAGTTCCCAACCATGAAAATTTGGTGTAAAAACGGTGGATTGCATATTTTGCATGCAAATACCTGTAAAACTGAAACATAAAAGTCTATGCAGTTTTTGTAATGTCAACAATAGCCAGTATTTTGAAACCTGGTGTACTTTGATTGACTGCATGTACCTTGTGAAGTGAAAACAAGTGTTATTCTTTGACATAATAATTTCATTTTGAGTCAGATTTCCAGTGTTTTGGTAAAGTTAGTGTGTGCAGAGAAAGATGTGTTCTATTTTGAAATGAAGAGTTAGTATATATTTAACAAAATGTGTTTTGAGAAGAAAATTATCCATTTGGCCAATTGTGTTTTGTAGGTGTGAGTCTGTGTTAAGAGTTTAGAAAAAGTATCTGAAGTATGGGTAAGCGCTTGTTAGCGATTGAAAAAAACTGTAATATAGACAAACATTTCACCCTTGCAGGAAAACGTGGGGGACAGGGGCACTATGCTGAAATGTATGAATATAGTGAGATTAATTTATTAGAAAAAAAAACAGCACTTCAATAATTAAAAGAATTTTGCATTCTTCTGTGTGTTCATAAGGGCATTGGGAAAATAATAGTCAAGATTATTGTTTTTACAGTGGCAATTATGTTGCATTTTGTAGTTCTTTCAAGTGGCTGTCATTTGAGCTGTAATAACTTGCTGCTTAGTTTTGCACTGTGCACATTTCAGCTGAGCTAGCATTTCTCTTGTGCAGTAAGAGAAGCAGTCATCAGCAGAGCTTACCATGAGTTAAAGACAAATATGTATCTCATTTGTGATTAGAAGTAGAAGATTCCAATTGCGGAATTCTGCTCACACTCCAGGTTATCACTTTCTCTAACAGTTAAAACTACAGTCATTCCAGTATCAGTCATTATGGTGTATGATATACAGTACAATACCAGAAATGTATCTTCTACATGTTCCAAAGTCAGTTATTATTACATTGTAAACATATAAATGAATGCATTTGCAGTATTTGTATTACTGTATGTTTCACATTTATATATGTGTATATGTCTATATATATATATATATATATATATATATATATATATGGCCTATTGTAAAATGATTTCTGCCAGCAGGTACGTTCAGCCAACCTACTCTCCATGAATGAAAAGTTAATATTACGAGAGAGCCTTTATAGATGTCACATAAAGCACACGTTAGATATTTGATCCGAGATCCATTTTATGGGCATAACATTTTAGAGTACTAAAAAACATTGTCAGGGCTTACCAACTGAGCATTACTTCCGGACTACAAACATTTTGACGTTTGTAGTTTTTATCCATTGTTACGTGCTGGCGTAGTCTGTGACGAAGCCGGAACTACCACCGAGGATTACACGCTTTGAAAAGTCAGCAACCTAGTGTTAGCTAAAGTTAGCATTACTTATTATCTGCAAAGGCCATTCTACTGTACCATTCACTCTCTAGGAAGAAATGCCATCGTTAAACGGAAAAACTGATGTTGTGTTTGTAAGTCATACCATACAGTATACTGCTACCTATCATTGTTTGACCGGAACTGTGAAGTGTTAGCTAGCTAATTTTACTGTCTGTGTGTTTAACTGCCGAAGTTGTTGTGATTAATAAACTAGGAAGAATTTTGTAGTTAGACAAGCTTGGCTTCTAAATTGTTAAAGCAGTTAAAATCTGAACTCACAACAATTATAGTTAATCTGTCAATGGTTAATTTAATTTAGAATGAACATTGTTAACGTTGCAGTAAAGTTACGCTATCGCGCTAATGTTAGCTTTAGCAGGCACAGTGTTAACTCTTTCAAAAGTTAATACTCCTGAGCTTGAGTTGTGTTTGACGTGTTTTGTGCTGTGATTTCCGGCTATGTCAGGAGGACGATGATCTGCCTTATGAAGAGGAGATCATCAGGAACCCATACTCAGTCAAGTGCTGGATGCGTTACATCGAATTCAAACAGAACGGACCCAAATCCACCCTGAACATGATATATGAGCGGGCTCTTAAAGAGTTGCCTGGCAGGTAACTAACAAACAGGGGGTGTTAGAGTGTTTTATTTATACTTTGCTTAAATACGAGTATTTCGGTGATAAAAATTGGAAATTTGTCAAACATTGTCACTGTTTAAAATGTAACTAGCATTGTTGTGCATTGTTAAAAGAAGTAGATAAGTATATAGGTGGTAGTGTCAAAATGGCCATATCATTTTTAAGACCTTGCACTAAACTATTTGCCTATGGTTGAACTCTTTTTAACAACAATTGTCCCTTTATTTACAGCTATAAACTGTGGTACAGTTATCTGAGAGAGAGACGGAAACAAGTCAAAGGAAAATGTATCACTGAAACAGCCTATGAGGAGGTCAATAATTGCCATGAAAGGGCACTGGTATTCATGCACAAGGTAATACTTCCTATAAAACTCCACGCTGAACATATTTACAGTGAAAACATGCTATTATACTATGGTCTGTGGAAGTTGTGATTGAAACTAATTATCTGTTTTTACTTAAACTAGATGCCTAGAATATGGCTAGATTACTGCCAGTTCCTTGTGTCTCAATGCAAGATCACGAGAAGTCGGCGAACATTTGACCGTGCACTCAGAGCTCTTCCTGTCACTCAGCACCCACGCATCTGGCCTCTGTATCTCCGCTTTGTTCGTAACCTACCCCTGCCTGAGACAGCTATCCGGGTGTATCGCAGGTACCTTAAGGTGAGACCATAGTACACAAATCAGTTCCATTCAGCGGTTGTCATTTAGGATGTCACGCACAAAGATTTCTGATTACTGATAAGTGTATTTGCACACTTTCACTGGCATCATATGGAAATGGATGTGATACAGCAGGATGTCATATTATGGAACAACTGGTCTGAATTGGGGCTGCATAATTAATTGAAATCGCAATGGGCAAGTGCAATATCCAAATCGCAGGAACTGCAACTTTTTTGATAATGTTAAATGTATCACAACATACCATAAATAAGCATTGTAATGCTAGAGAGATGCTTCAGCCTACAAATCATATTCTCCATATGTAACGGAACATGCTTGTTTGGTACAAGCCCTGACAAAAATCACATTCCCATCATTTTTAATTTAAAATTAAATTAAAATAAAAAAAATTACCATTCCAACTGAAATCATGACTCATATTGCAATGTATGTTTTAAACATTTTCTGTAAGTGTTTAAAGATTCTTAGCCAAGTGAAAGGCTACTGGATTTGCTGTTTTAGTCTGGAGTTTTGCTAAAAACAAAAAAAAAACTGAAAGGCTTCCACATCATACTATATAGAACTCCTAATGTTGATTAAGAGTTAATACATTTCCTAATAATCATATTCATTCATCAAACTAGGATTATTGTTTATGGGTGAAATTGCTATTTGAAAGGAAAGCTGACATTAAATCATGAAGTTAAAATTTGTAGTAAAAAATTTTCTACATGAATGAAAATTTCATTAAAATGTGCTGTTTGCACTCTGTACCATGTAGCTTTCTCCAGAGAATGCAGAGGAATACATAGACTACTTACGGTCTGTTGGCCGCTTGGATGAAGCAGCTTTGAGACTAGCAGCTGTTGTCAATGATGAAAGCTTTGTGTCCAAAGAGGGCAAGTCCAACTATCAAGTAAGATTTTATTTTCATCCCAAACACCTCCCAATGTGCCTTGTTTGTTTTTTTCTTTTTTTTTTTAAGCTGAACAGGAAAATTGATAGATCACTATTCTACTTTTTTGTTTATTGGACAGCTGTGGCATGAGCTCTGTGACCTGATCTCCCAGAACCCTGATAAGGTGACCTCTCTGAATGTGGGAGCCATTATCCGAGGAGGCCTCACTCGCTTCACAGACCAACTTGGGAAACTTTGGTGCTCTTTGGCTGACTATTACATCAGGAGTGGCCACTTTGAGAAAGTGTGTTTCCTCTAAATAGCTTCCATTTTTATTCATAACATAAAGCACTTAACATATTGAAAATTGTTTATCCAAAATACTGCTGTGCTTTATATTAAACTTATGAATTTGATTGAGTTGAGTTATTTGTCTTTGCTTTCTCAGGCCCGCGATGTGTATGAGGAGGCCATCCTTACAGTGGTAACAGTAAGGGATTTCACACAAGTGTTTGACAGTTATGCCCAGTTTGAGGAGAGCATGATTGCTGCCAAGATGGAGACCACTGCTGAGATGGGGCAGGATGAAGATGGTGTGTTTGGATTCATTAATATTAATATACATTCTGTATGTGTACACTTGTTGCTTTCACTTCTTTTCTCATGTATGCTGTACTCTTTGTTCCTCTCCTCCCAGATGACATAGACCTGGAGCTCAGACTGGCCCGCTTTGAGCAGCTGATAGCGCGGCGGCCCCTCCTCTTGAACAGTGTACTGCTGAGACAGAACCCTCATAATGTCCATGAGTGGCACAAGCGGGTAAAGTTGTATGAGGGCAATCCACGGCAGGTGAGTTTAAAGTCTTTTTCTACATATAGTTTAGACGGGGTACACACAATTCATAGTGGTAACAAACACCAAATAGGTAACACTGCCTTTATGTAGTACATTACTAATGAATCCATGCTCACCATTTTCTCGACAGATTATCAACACTTATACTGAAGCAGTACAGACTGTGGATCCAATGAAGGCCACAGGGAAGCCTCACTCTCTCTGGGTTTCCTTTGCAAAATTCTATGAGGAAAATGAGCAGCTGGATGATGTAAGTCATGGAGGTCTTCCCACAGGGATTCTCAAACTTTTTGCACTTCAGATCAGATGCGTTTCTGTATTCTTGATGTCTTATATTTACTGACTCACTCAGGCCAGGACAATATTTGAGAAGGCTACCAAGGTGAACTATAAGCAGGTAGATGACCTTGCTGCAGTGTGGTGTGAATATGGAGAGATGGAGCTTCGCCACGAGAACTATGAACAGGCGCTGCGCATACTGAGGGTGAGACATTTGTATCACATCTGCAGGCATTATTATGAGAGCAGTAGGTAAAATAGTACCACCATTTATAACCGATGTTTGGTAACATCTAGTGGCAGGACATAGAAACTACAACAATATTAGAAAACTAATGTTTTTAGGAGCATGTTTTCAAACTGAACACCTGTGTACTGATACAGTTGACTATAGATAAAGCCTTCTACTACATATTGTAATAATCTTTTATCTAGAAGTTTTGCATGATGGTTGCTTTGTCTTTAGCTCTCTCCACCTTTCAGACATTGTACAGATGTTCACTTGCTTTTCGGTGAAACAAAACCCAAGTGCATAGTGCACACTGGGTAGTTTATGACCCTAGGAGATTAAAGCATTTACTACAAAATATATTTGGGGCGGCTCTGCTTGTTTAGAGATTTTGTAGTCTCAACAGAGTAATGAATGATAATGATAAACAATTCCATGTCCCTGCAGATAAATTATGGGAAATTTGAGAAATGAGTGAAATGTGCCTGATTGTACCTTTTTTAAATATATGAATCCTCTCAATTTTTGTAAAAATGCTTTTCTTCAATGATTTGACTATAGAAAGCTACTGCCATCCCATCCAAGAAAGCAGAGTACTTTGATGCATCTGAGCCAGTCCAGAACAGAGTGTACAAGTCTTTGAAGGTCTGGTCTATGCTGGCAGACTTGGAGGAGAGTCTTGGCACCTTCCAGGTATGTTCACTACACGTCTAAGTTTCCAGTATATTATATGAGCCAACAAAGTACAGTAGGTTTAAAGCATATGGCAGATAAACTCTGAGTTATTAATCAGTGGTCTGAGAATTGCTATCTCTTTGTTGATGTTTAATTTGATTCTTTCTCCATCCTTTTTTTTTTCTCCTCAGTCTACGAAAGCAGTGTATGACCGCATTATTGACCTCCGCATCGCAACGCCACAGATCATTATCAATTATGCCATGTTCCTTGAAGAGCACAACTACTTTGAAGAAAGCTTCAAAGTAATAACATGCCGCTAATTAACTAAACCCACATTTACTTTCAGTGCCTATTCTGTCCAAGAACCCATTTAATGAATTCTTTAATGTCTTTGTTAACACCTTTTTAGGCATATGAGCGTGGTATCGCTCTCTTCAGGTGGCCCAATGTGTATGACATCTGGAACACTTACCTCACCAAGTTCATTGATCGTTATGGGGGCAAGAAGCTGGAGAGAGCGAGAGATTTATTTGAACAAGCGCTGGATGGCTGCCCCGCCAAGTTTGCCAAAAGTAAGTAGCTTTGTTAAAATGACATTGACAACTCTTGTATATTCAACATTATTATTATCGTTTTCTTTTAAATAAAATACACTGAAATCAAATCTACTGCATTGCCTTGCTTTTCAGCAATTTACCTGTTGTATGCCAAATTGGAGGAGGAGTATGGATTGGCACGACACGCCATGGCTGTCTATGAAAGAGCAACACAGGCAGTAGAAACTGAGGAGAGACATCACATGTTCAATATCTACATCAAGAGAGCAGCTGAAATTTATGGAGTTACCTATACCAGAGCAATTTACCAAAAAGCTATTGAGGTATGGTAGCATTGTTTTGTGCTCTCCGTGATCAAATGAAAATCCCTATGCTGCCTTCTTTAATAACCCTTTTTTCTGAAAAATTGATAAAGAATAACACATACATTGTGTTCAGTTGTTTTATTCAAATCTGATATGTACTTTTTGTATTTATCTAGGTCCTTCCTGATGAGCATGCGAGGGATATGTGTCAGCGATTTGCTGACATGGAGAGTAAACTGGGTGAGATTGATCGGGCCAGAGCAATCTACTCCTACTGCTCCCAGATCTGTGACCCAAGGGTGAGCTAAACCACCTCCAGCCATTACCTTTATCTGAATAAAATAACACATATCCATCAGTGATGTGTAAATACTTCATAATTGCTCTTAACTTATTTATGAACTTGATCTTTCAGGTGACAGCTAATTTCTGGCAGACCTGGAAAGAATTTGAGATCCGCCATGGTAATGAGGACACCATTAGAGAAATGCTGAGGATCAAACGCAGTGTCCAGGCCACATACAACACCCAGGTCAACTTTATGTCCTCTCAGATGCTGAAGGCCACAACAAGTGCCACAGGCACTGGTGAGTAAGCTTGTACTAGCTTGTTAGTCTCTGACAAGAATTTTCTTCACTAGGCTGGTACCATGAATGCACTGTATGGGATATTGGGGGAATGTTTGAATTATATTGATAAAATCCTGAGGTTACACACCAGAACAGCACAAGAGTTAATGTAGTAATATCTTTTCTAATGTTTCTGTGTCCAACCATTTTTTATCATGTGACCATGTTTTGATTGTGTATTCAGTGTCAGATCTTGCTCCAGGCCAAATGGGAATTGATGACATGAAGATGTTGGAGCAGAAAGCACAGCAGCTTGCTGCAGAAGCTGAACAGGACAAACCCAAGCCCAAAGAGAAGATTCTCTTTGTTAGGTTTGTTGTTCATCTTTTCACTCCATCGAGAAGTATCTTTATTAAAATGGACTACATCCTCCAAAGGAATCACTTAAGTCATATTTTCCTCGTCTGCTTACGCAGGAGTGACACTTCTCGCAGTGAGTTGGCTGAGCTTTCCAAACAAGCCAATCCTGATGAGATCGACATTGATGATGATGACGAGGATGAAGATGATGACCAAGGACCGGAGGGTGAGTGATAGAGAGAGGCCTTGCCTCAGCAGCAAAACTGAAAAAAATTTGTACTTGTTTAAACATTCAGGCATACATGTTTTACTCATGACAATTCATGTACTAATTGTCTTCCTTTCATGGCCTTTTACAGAGGTTCAGCTTGAGCAGAAGAGTGTCCCCACAGCTGTCTTTGGAGGCCTTAAAGATGACTGAAATATAACTTACTCACTGAAAAGAGTGCACTGCAAAGATGCAGTCTTCTGAATAGTCATTGAATAGGCTTCATTTTTAAAATTTGTGTAAATGTACAGTTGTGTACTCTCTATTTTAATAGAATGTGATGAGTGACACAGTCAGAATAGCAGTGTTTTCTTTGTAGAGTTCTATAGTTTGGTATAGAAAGATATGAACCTGCTCGTTTTGCCCACATGGTGTCAGTCTTTATCAAGTATGAGGCTCAAGCTAATTGTGCAATTGAGCTGTTTTCTATAATGAAATACTTTATGTGGTTACATGATAACTATAACTGGTCTGATGTAGTCTGACTTTGTTTCCAAATTCCATTTTGTAAAAGAATTAACAGTGAAAACTCTTTTGTACACTTGATAACTGCATAGATCTCTCTCTGACAGGAAGCTCTGCCCTAGAAAACATGGGGGAGGAGCACAGTTTGTTCAACAGGGAGCATTCATTTGAAAGTGGAGCTGAGCATTCAAGCCTCACACTGTTGGCTTGAGGATCACTAGTCTTGCAAAGCCCATTGTTTCTGAAAAGGTTTCATAACTTGTACACATATATCACAATCCAGTTATTAAATTCATACTTTAGTTGTACATTTGTTATGTATTACTCAAGGAACTGATTCAATAAGGAAGGTTGTGTAAAACTTTGAAAAGAACTCATGGTTAACTAAACCAATAAATACATTTGCAGGAGTTTACTTGTCTCACTGGTCACGTTTGAGGCTATAGGTAATAATGCTTTGGAAAGGACTTTCAGTCTGCCTTCTTGAGGGTCTACTTGTGACCCAATACAGTATTACAGCTTTTGGTATACAACAACAATATTGAAAGTTTTCTTATTACCACACTGCAAAGTGTTGTAGTGTTTGTGAATTATGCACCTGTAGTTCTGGCTGTGTCAAGTTCGTCTCTTTGAATCTCTGAAACTTTATTTACAATGTCTTGAAAACGCATTCATAATAAAAGTGGACTTGCATATGTTAAATATGGTGACTTATCTCACAGAGGAAAGTCTGCCGTAGAAAACAGGGCAAGAGTTTTAAGGAACATTTACCTGAAACAGGAGCTAAGCATCAAAGTCTCACATTGTTGATGTTACATTGGCTGTATAGTCTTGCAAAAGTTCATGATTCAACAATACATGTGCAACCCATGTATGCTGGAAGATTTACTTAAAAGATTTATAGGGTGTAGAACTACTTCAGTGTTTGATGGAAAAAATCTTTATGCTTTTAATTGTTGCAACCCCATCATAAGAGTTAAATTGATTGAAAAGTACTGACTAGGAAGAAATTTTTTCCTTCATTATTAGATTAACATAGTTGAGAGGTAATCCTCTTACAAAGTTACTGCAGTGGGGCGCATGGAACTTGGAACTTTGAGCAACATCATGTGATGAGTCACTCTTGAGATTTCTGTTTTCCAATGTGGATGGTGCTACTGGAAATAATACTTCAAAAACAATTGGAAAGAAACTGTCTAGAATCTGAAAAATTGGAAGCAAACAACTCAACTATTTTTCCAAATATAAAATCCTTTTTTTCCTGCATAGATTTTATATATTTACTCTACTCCTGCCAGTGCAGCTTTTTTTATACTACAGGCAGCTTGAAAGGCAGTAAGCTATATAAACAACCTGACCATATCTGCATGTATTTGATGTCACTGCTGATCTGTACCAGACAGTAACTCAATAATTGGAAATTGATATGATTATGAAATTTTTACTCTAGTATATAAAAGCTAATAATATTGCATAAATCAATAATGTGATGTTTCAGTGATCAGTGTTTTTCATCTACAAGAGCTCAGTTGTGAGGGTACAACCCTGAGGGGATTTTGCCCACTACAGCAAGGCTGATGTATTGTGGTGTTGAACCAGGGCTGTCCACCTGAATAAGTCTTTAACCGATAAGGTAAAAGCTTAGATTTCCACAGTCCAGGGCACTATATCTGATATGTAATGAACTAAATGAGGGACCGTTTTTGTATTTTTTCATCTGCATTCAGTGTCAGAGGTGGAAAGTAATGAAGTAGTACCTAAGTAGTGCACTTATGTATTTCCAGTTTATGCCGATTTATACCTCTACTACACAACATTTAAAAAGGTAAATGTACTTGTCATGCCACTACATTTATCTAACATATACAGTTGCTAGTTACTTTGATTTTACACACAAAACAGAAAATCAATTCAAAAAATATAATTCATCACTACAGATTAAAGGCCCCACATAAGTGTTTGCAGTTATTGTAGCTGATTAAAAACCTGCTATCTTGGGATTTACATGAGGTCACTAAGCTCCATGTACTAGAGTATGATAGTTATTGTCACTCACTCAAATTAACATGAGCTTGAGAGAGATGTCAATCAAGCCCAGTCTGCATGTACACCCTGAGAAAGGGTCTAATAAGGAAAAATAAGACAAAATATATGTGGCAATGGACCGTGGGTGTGCAGGGTCTATGAACTACCCAACAATTAATAAAATGGCATGAATTAGCTCCTGCTAAACAAGTTATATTAAAATACAGCTAACATTTTAACATACCAGTATTAGTAATTCAGCACTTCTGATAGGAGCCACTCTGTATATCGAGTTCTTTTGATATTTTTTGTATATTTTGCTGATAATACTTTCACACATTTTGAATCTAAGGCTTTACTTAAGCCTATATTGGAGTATGTTTACATTATGGTATTGCAACTTAAGTGAAGTATTTGAATACTTATTCCACCATTGGAAATTGTGTTGCTAGAATATTTCTATTAGGCCACTTTTCCCAGTCAAAAAGATGCCCCTCCAGGCCTTCACCTGTGCTCCAGCAGATGCACCTGTAGCAAAAGTCACACCACACCTCTATTGCTGGTCTGCGTTAACACAGGGAAATCCCGCCCTCGTCGCTCAAGCTTAATTTCTATTGGTCGGCGGGGTGAGTGAGTGATGCCAGTGTGGAGCACCTGGTAGTCAGTCATCGGCGGGGCTCTCAGTGGAGCTCCGTTCAGCGGACTGGGTACACAGCAATGCGGACGAAAAAGGGCAAAAACGAGAGGAATAGTCCGGTTTTCTCTAATAACCCGGCGGGTCGGGGCTTCGCTAGGTCGTAAGGCATAATTTAGCAGGGATTTCGTTTCCAAAACCAAACAGAAAAGGACATTAACTGGCTTGGAAGCAGCTCCGGGACGGATATTTTCCCGACAAAACCCACATCCGTAATCCAAGCCCTGGTTGGGTGGAATAGTCTACTAAAAGAATGATTGCTTGAATATTTTTATACTGTCTTGTAGCATTTTTTTTTTGCCAGCACCGCTTCCCAATTTTCACAGACTCGCCATGGTGGACTCCCCTACCATGAGGAAGACTTTTGTGGTCCCAGACATAAAGCCATTGGATTTGTATGACTGTACTAAAGCAAAAATATGCGCAAGTGTCGGATGGCTATTGGCAAAGTCCTACGGCAGTGCAGGTAGGTTTTAGTCTAGGCTGCAGGCCTGGTGAGTTACATTATTATTCAGAGAGCTCGTATGAAGACCACAATCCTGAAATATGTTTATACTCTGTTCAGTGGTGTAGCGAAAAGCACATGCGTGTAGGGGAACTGCAGTGTGTGTATAGCTCAGCGATTTTCAGCACAAAGAGCAGCATATGAAAGGGGGGGCCGTGCGCTGTGTGCATTTTTTTGACTCTGACACATGTCATTTGTTCTCAGTCAATGGGTGGTCACATTTTATAGGTACGTGTGTGTCAGAGAAACAGGCCTCCTCCCTAGGCCTTATCACGCTAACCCATTTTGTCGTATTTCTAGCCGCCAGGCTTCAGTCAGACATTGCAGGCTACTGGGTATGTTTTCAATCTTGCAGTTTTTAACATGGGACATGGGGCGTAGATGATTTTCAATACCATTCTTTTCTCTCAGATGACAGCTCCAGTGAGAGCATCCGTTTTCAGGAAATCATAATTAGGATCAGAGCTGCAAGCAATAGCCCAATGTGCACTGAGTGAGTAAACTGCTCAGTGTTTCACCTTTGCAATTTATTCGATTTTACTCTTCCAATATCCTTAGTCAACAAACCTCAAGAGGCGCTTGTGAGAAACCGTCCAGCCTCTATGATGCAAATCACCCACCTAAGAAAATCATTCTGTTGCACAGAGCATATCACAAGACAGAGTTTTCGTGGTCTTAGACCAGCGTCAGCTCTGACCCTGAGGTGATAACAAGTCTATTTGTTTTAGAGCCATATCAAGATGAGATCTCACAAAGAAGACACCAAAACAGTCTTGTTTGAAATAGGTTTGATGACGTGCTCCTTTCCATTTTATTTGAACTTTACTGGCACTGTAATCTTAAGTCAGTTTACTAATTAATTAAACCACACAAGACAAGAAAACGCATTCACGTTCCTGAGATGTGCATGTAAACAAATACTTGAGCTGGAGGTTAATGGTCAAGGTATTAAATTCAGACTGTACTAACTTTTGACTAGAAAGGGTGTGAGGTGAACTCTATTTTACTTTAACAACATGACTTGCATGTTACACAATCCCAGGCAAGCCCTAGGCTTAGGCTGCTGCTGCCTCTGTGTGCTCTGTTTAGCACCTCAACCACGCCCTCTGGTCAAAGTCACCCTCCATGCCAAGCTACAGGAATATGAAGACGAAGACTGTGTTGATGTGTGCTTCTTGTCTTAATCAACTCAATGGCCTTACTGATAGTTTCCTGCAAAGTCAAGATGACATCATCAAGTCCCTCCCCAGAAACTCAGCTGTGCAGAAAAACAGATAGCACAACAGGAGCAAGAACAGGTCATCTAGTCCTCGGCTCTTCCAGGTCATTTAATGTAATGATGACAATAGGCAACATTTTAAATCTCTGAGTCTTTGTAATACAAAATGAACTTTCACCTTGATGACATACTGTATACATCTTGGGTCTTTAGTTGGAGGAATGTTAAAAGGTTAGACATTAGCTGACAAGGGCCTAATGATATAAAAACTAAATAAAAAAACATCTCTAGTCTTATATAGGCTGCTCTAAAATGAATCCATGTGCAATCATGATAATCTGAAAGCTGCTTATAGGCTTGGACTGAAATACCAATGTTAGCACAGAATACAGAAACACATCCCTAAGAGATTGTTAGCCTCATCTTCAACACAACCAAACCCATAGTCTAAAGTTAACCAACTCTAATTGTTGCCTAATTATAACAGTTTGAAACATAATGCTTAAGACTTGTGAAATTTTCTAAATGCTAAAGACCTGCAACACTTAATCCCTGTCTCCTTTAGCCAAGGAAAGACAGAACTATCCTCTTTGAAGGGAAAGGGAATCATGCCATCCCCACAATTCCTTGCTGTAGCAATAGACTGCACACAAAGTAGGTGTTCCCTATAGACTTTGTTTGATCCACCCAGTGACATTATGTTTGGAGTTTCAAAATAACATTTTTAAAAAGCAGCATTATATATTTACATGTACGATTACATTCTCACATATACTGGAATTAGCTAGTTCTGGTTTATATATATCAGATGTAATTTATGATCTACCCTTGTATTTGCTGTCACAGATCATTTGAGGGTCAGTTAAACTAGTTTCTGCCTCTACTTTGGAATGAGATCAGGAACTCTCGACTCACCAGTTTGTAGACTTGGGAGAAACTTGCTCATACATACTAAAATGTTCATAATGATATATGCTAATTGCGTTATTTATTTTTCCTTTTGAGTCCATGTTGCTAATGTAATTTGTGTGTCCTGTAATCAACCTGTAGACAACTTAATTATCACTTACAAAACAGTTAATGGCCCAGTTTAAACATTCCATGTTTTGGTCATCATTGTGTTTTGTGTCCTCTTCTGATATTTTTTTTTCTAGCAGTGAAACCAAACCACTTTGTACCTGCATGTTTCAAATCTCGTATTTCTTTAGCATGCTAGCCTCACCTAGCTACAAAGCTGGTTGGATCATACTGAAATCCTATTGGAATGATTACTCATTCTCTCCCAATCATCGTAACTATGGTGAGTCAACAAGGGACAAGGACCTGAGGAGGATGTTGTCTTGCTATTAGTGTTTACTCAAGAGGTAGGAAGTCCTATTGGTGTACTATATGAAACTATTAGGTTTCAGGCTTAGGTCAAAACCCCTTTATAACTGAGTTGCATAGTGTGTTTCCAGATAATTTGACACACCTTATTGTGAGAGAAGACACTTGCTACACCACACAGGGAGGTCAAAGATCAGAGTAAGCTACAGAACAGTACACACAGATCCGTTTTGAGTTAGATTCTAACATGCAGACTCTTTTGCTAGGCGAATGCATCCTGCACACTTTGTCACAACGCAAACCAGTATTGCCCTGTTAGAATGTGATTACATTTAATGTGATTTGGAGTCCATCTATAGGATGTGCTTCTGACACTTTAATGCAATTTAAGGGTACTGTGCTCATGTCATACTAGAGTGCTGTCTGTGGTGATGTGTTACAGGACACACAGGACTGTTAGTAATGGCTTATTTATGGTAAGTGGACCTGTGAATGTGTAGGGAGATGGAACACCTCACATTCCTTCTGAGAATTCACTGTCGGAAGTTTGCTCATTGATCAAATACATGAGCATTGTTTGTTTGCATGCATGTATGTTTTTCACCTTAAGCAAATGACCAGATGAATAGTCAAATCAGAGAAGTTGAAGTTTATAATGATGCATCATCTGATAAATGCATCATTGGATGTTTCACAGCTGGCTATTAGAATATGCTGAAGGTATTATTACAGTACAGTCTTAACATGTAGACGGGTCAAATGACAATCTCTCCCAGTCTCGTCCAAGATGTTTAAGCCGTAGTTTAATGTTTATGTTGGCATCAGCATTTTCCCAGAACTAGTGGTCACATGTAGGGTAGGGTGTTAACATAGCCCCTCTCACCACCGCTAGATTTCGGGGCAACAAAACAGTGCCTGCTTTGTTCTAAAAATGAGAGCGGATAATCATCTGTGTTTGATCTTTTCCATCACATGATGTGGATGTTTATACCTTAGTTTTCCACCGAGGATTTTGAAGTTAGAGCCAATTGCTTTATCAAAACTCATGTAATGCTTAGTTATTAATTTTTGAGAAATGTTTTCTGGAAATGAAAAAGTAAAATAAAATTAGTCACCGAAAGCGATTGGGCAGGCATGGACTGATGTACCGTGTACTTACCTTGCACACGTCTGCATATTTGAGCTCATGAATTATTTAATCTGTACCAAGGCTCCTGAAGAGTTCCAGTAAGAAGCCTCACAATTTAGATTGTCTAATCCAGCAAGTTTTGCAAACTTCTGTGCCATGTTATTAATAGAGAGAGCTACTTAATGCTCACTGTTACTCTGACAACCCTCTTCAAATCCAATGGTGACTGTTTCACCTGAATGTAAGTTCAGAAAGGATGGGAGTGGGGTCTTGTCTACTGTTTTTCTCCCAAAGGAGCCAGTTTGGTTTAAACTGTGACTGATTTCCAATTTTTGTTTGGATGTGTTTGTGTTGCTCTATGTCTGTTGATTACTGTCAGACACGTGTGGTAATGTGTCTGCAACATGACCAGTGTGCTAGCCCAATCGGTCAATGAGGTAGAAGGACGCATGGCTCCTGTTATCAGCAGGATAAGCAATGCAGGTCAGTACAGACGGGAGCTAACACAGCTGAACTGGGTACAGCCATGATGGCAGGCCTCATCAGTTCCACTGTACCTTTTTAAGAGTTTAGCTCATTTTGCATGATTAAATTTTGTGCATACTGGCCCATTGCTGGAATAGTGCTGTAGTCTTTCTCTTTTGTCTTTTGTTATGATAATAACAACAATGTGACACTGATGTAGAAAAAATATGTTTGCTTTCCTCCTACACAAACAGGTAAGAGGTCAGGGTCAGCTACAGCACAGAGCTCATGCAGATGGTAGGGATTAAGTCTCCGAGTCAAAATCTCCTCAGTCGAAGGCAAATGCTCGCTTGAACCTTTCTACATGAAGAGTGATCTACCTGATCACCCACTATGAATATGTGATAACATGTTAATAATCATTGCACACGTTTGACTTTTGCCTTTTTAAGTCTAGCAGATAAGCACTGACCCCATGACCCGTGAAAGTGACAGAGAGGCTGTTGCTCGAGTTTATGCAAACACAAGCTTATGTTTTCAATCTAAGTATATCCCTGGAGATGTTGTGATGTCAACATTATGGAGGTCTCACACTACTTTTTGCTTGGGCTTACTTATTCTTAAAGCTGCCAGTTGGTATTTCTTTCTATTGCCTCCTATTGCTTTTTCGTTTTGTTTTTCACTTTAGGGTTATGTTGTATACTTTATCCAGTTATCGGTGCTGTTTATGATGTGCAGGTGCATAGTTTTGGAAAATTGTGTATGAATTTGCAGTTTTTAATTTGTACCAAGTTTTCTTTGTGATATACTGTATGTGTCACACAAAGTCATTATTCATGGCCAGACTGTCTCATAGGGAAATCATGCATATATCGATCTCTCTCATCTCATTGAGTTGAGGCATTTGCATCCTGCTTTGCCTTCTGGTGAAGTTTTTCTTTTACTTTATACACGTCATTGTAGGAGGACTTTTTTGTATCATGTGACTGTGAGGGCCTAAAACTAAAGGTGTACATTTTGGTTGGTGTGTCACAGTGTTTACAGCAGTGATGTGAGCATTGTAGTTTTGGCACACAGGAGCATATTTACAACAAACTAGACCATGTGGCCTGACTGGCAATATTGTGTAAAATCTATAGTCATCACAGAGTGACAGCGAGAGACAGAGTACAAGGCATTGTCTCGCCTCTGAAGCTGGGCATATATCTTTGTGGTCTGATGTCAGTGAATCTGTTACATGACTTTATAATGATACAACAACGTAGTGACACCTCCCTGGTAATAACCCCTTTGTTTCTCTGTTAGGTGCAATCTTAGGTTTTCATAAACACGCATTACTGTTAAGTTTGTCCTTTCTCATTTCAGGCACACTGCTGGTATTTCAGCTTGTCAACTTTTTGCCAAAGGCCCTTTAAAACAGTGAGATGCTTATTGTTATACGTTTACACAGAGACACAGTCTATTGAGTTTGTTGCTGGTTTGGTCTGAATGCAGAGAAACCAGTTTCACAGAGGGTGTGTCAAGCGTGTGTTTTTTAGGATGTATTTTTTTTTTTAAAACTGTGTCTTATTTACAGAAAGACCAGTCTGAACAGATTATTTAGCAATCTTCACCTAGCCACATGGCCTTATTACACTTTCTCTGAGGCGAGACAGACTCAGAGTTTTCTCATTTGCTTTGATAGTTTTGAGGTTGTAGATTTCAATCAGGTTGCCGATTTCTGCTTCTGAGATTTACATGTCTGTGAAGATCTGAAAGAGCAATTTTTACAGAAGCTTGGTGTAAAAGTGAAGCAAGAGGGGAGAAACAAGTGGCAGAACATCTTGTAATCTGCATATACCAACCTCTGAGCTCATCATGCCCCACTGACCTTGATGCTTGCTCTGCTCTACTCACTCATATGACTATAGCCCTAGCATATACATCAGCTCTCTTAATCTGCCACTGAAGCTGGCAGAAAGCAGGTTTCCAAGTCCTCGAGGAACGTCATCAAACACTGTCTGTATGTTTTTCTCTTGGCAGAGAATGTCCCTGCAGAGCTGCGCGACCCCTTCTACTGTGACCAGTATGAGCAGGAGCACCTTAAACCGCCAGTCACGCGCCTTCTGCAGTCCTCCGAACTCTACTGCCGGACCTACAGCCTGTTACTGGGGAGCGCTGGAGCCGAGGCACAGCCCAAAGACAACGTTGCCCTGCTGGAACTCCTCACTCAGAAAGGCATAGTCTCCAAAGACGAGGACACACCAGTGACTGATGCAGACCTCCGGCATAAACCCATCAAAATGGTAAAGTTATGTTGGTTATGTGAACAGTTAACACACAGGTGATGATGCTACACCAGTCTAGCAGGCAGTTTTGTGGGTAGTGGCCTGCATGGGTGGATTCGAGGAGGCGTCAGAGCTGTTGCTTGGGTAGAAAGTGGTTTATGTTTGTCTATCAGGCCAAGTCACCTCCCGAGGCTCTGCTATCCAGGAGCCTGCAGAGTGGTTGAGTGGTCTTGGTTGTTGATATGGGGGCTTGTTTATGCTTTGATTCTAAGGATTAAAGGACATCAAAAAGACCCCCACTCATTCAACCCTGCCCCCATCCCCCAATGCTGCCACCAGCTGATCCGAGAGGATGAGCTAGGAGGACTAGGGCAGTCACGGTGACACAAGGGATGACTACTTCCAGGGTGTGAGAGGGAGGGAGAGTCCAGATACAATAGATGGTCCAGACCAGAACAATGGCTAAACAGTTGTGGTGAAACTTTAGATATTGTGATGAGAGAATACTCTGTGCTGGCTTAGTGAGTTAAATCAAGAGAAACTGGTTTGTCCTCTTAGACCTTGACAATGGATCTCTCTCTCACACCACACTCTCTCTCTCTCTCTCTCTCTCTCTCTCTCTCTCATCTCCTCCTCTCTTCTCTCTCTCTCTCTCTCTCATCTCCCCCCCCCCCCCCCCCTCCCTTTGCCCCTTTCTCTTTCACTCCCTTTCTCTCCCTTTGTACTTGTCATAGGTTCTTCAGCCTGAAAACCTATAGATAACTAAGTTAGTTTTCTAAGGAATCATAACAGTCGAACGAGGAGGGATGTTTTTATGTATGATGGAACATTTACTGCTTTTCCACTTCAGCTGACACAACAGTTACTCACTGTAACTCAATTTTTAAGCATTTTAACAAACCCTCACTTTATACAGATTATCTTCCTGAAAAAATGGCATGCGACTGCATTTTCCCAGCCATCTTGGTTCATGCATATATATCGGATGTTTTTTGAAAGCTACATAGGGAGTCTCTAGGGTTCTGTATGTATGGTGTTTTTAGTTGAATGTTGTTTGCTCCACTGCTGCTGTCTAATGCCCACTGCAGCAGGTGTGCTACTGCTGGTGCCGACTATTGTGATGATACACTTAAATCTATGCTTGATTATCTGAATAGCACAGAAGTTGTGTGACCATTTGCAGTAGAGCTTTGCTGATATGAGAATTTGGATGTTGGTTAATGTTCTATTAGCTATACCTAACGTGACAAAATTAATGTGAGTGTAAGCATGTCACATGCAGCCTCTACTTGCACTGAATGTGAACTCATATAGTCTGCAGGACTGTTTCTAACCATCACACATGCTTGTTCTTGTAGGATTTCTGATAGTTAACCACCTGCACTGACAGATGTGCCACTTCACACCAAAGCACCAACAAGGTTTTCAATGGCAAAAATATATATATAAAAAAAAAACATAAGCATGAAAGATTAAAAATTGTAGTCATGTAACAATGACTACGATTTTATTATGATCATCATCACTACAGCATCAGCTATAATTACCTAATGACACAGTGGGTCTATTCCATGCATAATGTTTCTGTATTTTGTGTGTGCATGAACCAGTCTGCCTGTGTACATGTCAGCTCTGGATGTTGCTTCCAGGGCAGACTATGGACCATATCGCCTTTAAATCCTAATCGTGAAACTCCTATTTTGGCTGTTACTGTTGATGTTGCATGTGCTGTTAGCGGCATTTGTATATGAGCCTTCCAGCTGCTGCTTGGACCTAGGCTGCTCTCAGAGCTTGTCTGCCACTGACTGGCACTGTACCTACAGTGTGGCAAGCAAGGAAAGTGGGTCATGCTGCAGCAGCATTAGAAGGATGGAGCATCAATGTGGGTCTTGGCCAGTAAACGGCTTTGGAGCTGCAGCAATCTGCTGCAGCTCTGCCGTATATTACAGCTTCACATATCTGTGTTAAACAAGAGGATAACATGTACTGCATTTACATAAAAGTATGTTGAGTCATGCTTGTTGCTGACCAGTGAGCACTGCCGCCAGCTAATCTACCCAGCCATGCACTGTTGATGACTTTTCAATTTGTTATTGATGTATCGCACATCTTACATCACTGCAGTTCATTTGTAATAATTGTGAAATTTGGCTCATGTATAAATCCAAGGATGTAGGTTTATCCTAACCCATAAAGATGCTCGTGCTGGCTTAGGTTGTTGCACCGATATCAGTATGGAGCGGCAGTGACCTGCTCTCTGCTATGATCAAAGTAGGGCAAAAACAGATACATCATAGCCTTTGATAGCCCTACATCATATTCTTTTCATCAAACCATAAGCTGCTGTTACAGGATGAAGAAGCACTTCTTGTTTGTCCCTGCCTCTAGACCTTGAAATTCCTTAGTTAATGGTTGGATTCAAAAATATTCAGGACGAAAAAGAATGGTGTATGCTGTGTGATCTAGGACAAGTGAAAAGTGAGTCCCAATTTCCTTTTAATTGTATGTAGGGTCAGGTATAAAATGAAATATTGTCAAGGAATGAGCTCAGAAATTAAGGCAAGGTGTGTTTATTTAAGTAGACGTAATCTTATTTTTGTATCTTGTGATTGTATAAATACTGTAGCTATAACCTATTAATTCAGCTGGAAACATGAAGGTCTGAAAGTCTGACTTTATAACTTATGGGAAATATGCCATATTGGTGGGTATATTTGTGTACATGGTACTGATAATATTACAAACTAAGTGTTGTATCATTTATTCATCATAATATGCTGCTCCTGCAACCCAAGATAGCACCAGCATCTTTACAGGCAAGGGTTATCCTTCAAGCAAAGCTTTGTAGATGGTACATTCTTGGGCCTCTTTAGAATGGGCAACAGCAATGGAGCCTCCAGCTGCCTCCACCCCTTGTTGTATATGTGTATCGTAGTGGTAACTGTCCTTCTGGTGGTAGCCCAGCCCCCATCACTCCTGAGATTGAGGATAAAGATCTGTGAAGATTAGAGATAATCTGCCATGCAGACTGAACGTCATCATCCACGACTGGATGACACGCCAGAGATGACCACGGACTCACCATGTACCTAATATTTCCCACAACATCAGACTTGTAACTAATTTGTTACATCTACTGTTGGTTGAGATAGTAGGATATCATCTTATATTATCCATGTCAAACACGCTAGAATTGATTGCAATGGAGACGGGGTTAAGCATTTGTTCCCACAGTGACAAAGTAAGTCATGTAGCCATAATGCAGCTAACCCTCTTCTGGTCCCCTGTTGGTTTTTGGATAGGCACTGACACTTTGTCTTAAATCATACTGCTGTGTTGGCAGGTTTCTGCTCAAGTGAGCATCATTCAGGAGCTTAGTTGAAAATAGAAGTGGCAGACTATCAGAAACACTAACCATCATCTTACACTATTTGTTCTGCTTTGGGCCTTCACTGATGGGAAACTAATGTGGAGTAGAAATTAAACGTATTCACCATATGTTAAACAAGTTTGGTGTAAAGCTATTCGTGACCGGCTTTCCTTGCTCAAACATACAGTTCATGTTTATATGAGCCTTCGTATAACCATATGACCTCCTGTTCAAAATCCCTTGCTGGGCCCCAGACCTGCTTGATCCCCCTGTTTGTCTACCCCTCAGTAGGCACCAGGCAGGGTAGGGGGTGGGGGTTAAGTCATATTTCAGACATAATCAGATTTTGCCCTCACCATAATTTCACTTACTGATCCATAAGCTACCTTTGCAGTCTTTGTTTGGCACATTGTTGACATGATTATGTAAGCATATTTGCCAAATAGGGCCATAAAGATTTCATGTCGATGGGGTTAATTGATGAGGTATTAATTTTTCCTCTCTGTGTCACATCAGTTTGAGGAGTGCTAACTGTTTGCTGGCTGGTTGTTTCCGAGCAGAGAGCCGGTGCTAAGCCAGGAGCACGGAGCAGTGCTGCGGTCAGGCTTGTGTTGAGATGCATTGTGGGTCAGCTGGTTGGTTGTTATGGTGATCTGGCAGGCTCTGCACTGTGTGTTCATGAGTTGCTCCTCTTTCCCCTCTCATTAGGCAGACTTGTGATTTAGCTTAGCGAGCTCTCCTGGGTCTGCGAGGGAAAATCCACCAGCAGCCCCCCTTCCTTCCCTTTCATTCTGCACTTTAGCCATGAATTACCCTCCACTCTCTCCTCTGAATAATTACTGTACACTATGACAACAGGGTTGCCCACTTTCGGCAAGTCTGTCATTGTCTCGTGCTCATTTCTTCTTTTTCTCTCAGTCATCCTGTCTCCTTTCACACTGTCACAATAGCTCCAACCAATGATTACACTTTGTGGCTAAAAGCAAAAATATGTTCCTACCTTGAATCACTTTGTTTTTATCCAGAGTTTCAAACACAGCTACTGGCACAATGTAGCATGTTATAGGCCTCAGAAACATGCTAGTTTTGCTCAGATTCATTATTTTTTAATACAGAATTTTGTAAGAGATATAAAACAATATATTTATATACGCTATAATTTTTTTTTATATATGATACAATACATTTTTAGATCTATATTTATGGTGTATATGATACAATTTTAAATCAACCATGTTTGAGTTATCACTGCTAAGTCATAGTGCTCTGAATCAGTCAGATTGTTGATAGCTCCGAGAAGCCGTAGGTGCTATATCACGTAATTTGTCCCCTTCTGTACTGAAGACATTTCCACTTAAGATAAAACATATAAGTAGCAGCTCGAGTCCTGGCAACAGTGTTTGGAGGGCAGGCCAGCCGGGGCCACACAGCTCCCAGTGACTGACTGCAGCACATCCACAGAGCTTGGCCCAATACTATCTGACAAGCCTTTGCTGGCATAGCCCACCCTGCCTGCCCTAGCACCGGGTCTGTCCAGGTCAGCACTTTACATCAGGGTTGAGTAGGCAGACATGCAGACAGGGCTCATGCACGCAGCTGGACTGCCACCAGCCACCATCAGGGACAACATAAGAGGTTAGAGTAAGAATGTCTGGCCCCTAAAGTGGAATTTGTAAGTAGTAAAAGGGAACAGGCACTGATTTGCACAGATTAGGCTCAAAACTGAAGATTGGAGATTGTAGGAGTGGGCCCATGACAGGAATGTGTTGTTTGTGACTTGCCTGTCCCCTCCATTGACCAGAATTAATTATTTTTAACAAGGAGCTTGTTTCAATTTGCAGTACTGAGGAGAGAGGGGCCCTAGTGCTGCTGTTGAATCGCAACTAAACGTGATACAGATAGAGGAGACAAAGATAGAAGGATCATTCATTAAGTATGTAGACTTGATAAGGATATAAAGAGGGCAAAGGACAGGAGTGCTATCATGACGAAACCCAAGAATAAATTTCTCATTTGTCTGTATGAGTTAAATGCACATGCAAAAGGTTTAAATATCTGAATCATTTAAGTACTGTTGGTTTCAGCTCCATGGCACGAATGGAGCACAACTCCTAACTAATGAGCTAACAGGTTTATAGAGTTAAGCCATTCACTCTGACTGAGCTGATAATGTTGTTGGTGTGTTTTAATGGGCTCTGGCCATTAGAGAGAACACTGTAATGGTCTCTAAAGTATGAGGAAATGTCTAGGATACAAATGCTTGAGAGAATGGGGAATATATGTGTAAGCAAGTCTGTTTTTGTTTGATTGTTGTACATGTGTGGGAAAAACTACATATGTAATAATTAGGTTTTATAGCCAGTTTGTTGTCTGACAAAAACACATTCATACACCAAAAATGCAGAAAAGATATGGAACACCTGTTTCTTACAGAGAATGCTGTCCTTTGTTGTGCTTCCTGGTGATCTAGTTACAACACCTCATTTTATCCTGCGGTCCCTTCCACATGAGTCATACAGCAATATTTCACTGCGCAAAAGAGAAGGGAAGTGCGCTGGAGAGAAGGCAAATAGAGGGAAAGCAGCTGAGGAATGACAGTCCGGGAACACACATGTTATCATATTACAGGGCCATTGCCTCTTTAATGATTTAACGATTGTACAAACATCGGTCCAGAGTTCACCCACATCTACTGATGTTTGTGTTTGCTTGCTGAGAACTCTTGTTAGTGTTTCTGCTGACTCACAGCTGGCTTTGGGTGACCTCTAGAGGATGCTGCTTGCTAATATTGGGACTGCTGCAACAGTAAGAGCTGATCTCAGTTCTGCAGTAAGCGGTTCCCTACTAGAGCAGTAGAAAGGTCTGTGTCCAGCATTATTGTGTTAACTGTAATTGATTTATGCTGTTGGGCTCCCTGGCCTCCACTGTGACTCGTCCCACCTCTGACAATGTTCGTCTTCTTTCTCCCACGTGATTGGTGCAGAGTGCTCACCTGGCAGTGATAGATGCCCTGATGGCTGTGGGAGCCATGGAGACGGTGACTGCGGTGAAGACATGTGGTTCTGCTGAGCGGCTGGGTGGAGCTTCCAGCTGGGAGGATGCTCTGCTTCATTGGGTTAATGGGGTAAGGAGCAAACCAGAGAGAAAGAGTGCTTGATTCAGGCACACATCTTTCTTGTATGCTGTCATTGTATGCTGTCATATCTTCTTGTTCTTAGATGAACCAACATCTGTTTAGCTTCAGAAATTAGGATGCTGTAATTCTATAATCAAATAAGTTTTATTAATATGACAACACATAGTACAGATCCTTTATCAATGTGTATTAACTGTTCTATCTTTTTGCCATGTTCTCAGTTAAACCAGAAGCTGAGAGAACTTAATGAAGGATCCAAGAATGACTCGTCTCAGGCTATTACAGAGCCCCAACCTGTTCAACCCTCTGTGAGTACTGTATTGCATATGCAGTGTATTTCTACTTCTTGTCAAGTTATTAATGTATCCAAACACACATAATCTGACTAGGATTATGTATTTAGTGCAATTTAAAAAAAAAAAAAAAAAAAAAAAAAAAAAAAAAAAGTACCCGTCTACTAAGCTCATATTGATTTTGGTGCAGGTGCAGACCTTCACCAACTCTTACTCTGCAAGCATAACAAGTACTGGTTGACACAATAAATCAAGGGCAGCGTCACTGCTTTGTCTACAAGGCTGTCTTGTCATGTCAAGACATTACCGTCATCACAACCCTTTCTCTTCTTTGTCTAGCTCTTCCACTGTAGGCTTAATACCTGTCCTTGTGCTCCTGTTCTCCACTTCCCCGTCTTTCTCTATTTCCTATCCCTCCTCCTCTCTGACAGTGTCCTACTCGCTGGTACTGGAAACTTGTTCCTGTAAGTTCTCTCCTTTCCTCTGCTCCTTCCCCCTGTCCCTCCATCCTTCCAGTGTCTTCATCAAATTTATCAGCAAATATCTGATGGTCTGAAGGTGTGTTTTTTTTTTTTTCTCCATATGCCGGTGTGAAAATGTTCGTGTGCATCACATACTAGTCTACATTAAATTGCACGTCATAACATTAATGTCATAGGGCGGGGCATGATAGGGGCGTGAAAGGCATTGTTTGTTGACACACGAGTGGTGCATGTATCACAACTGGTACTCAAGTAGGCCTTGTGTACGATGGACAACCAGTTCTTCTGGTTTTCTGTGTAACAGAGGTGTGTTTTTGTGTGTGAAAGGCTACGGGGGTTAGCTGAGCCAGGCTTCTATTCAACTGGTCCCTGTGCTGTTTTTCTATATACTGTAGTCGTACATGAAACTTTTTTTTTTCCTTGCTCTCTCTCTCCCCTCCTCTCTCTGCCTCCTGAGACCCTCACTCGTCCCACTTTCTCCTGACAAAATCTTCCCTCTTTCTGCTCTGATTAAGTCACTCCCTTTACATCTGTCATTTGTTCACATAAGCCATCTCTTGTGCACATTAGCATGACCTTTATCTGTCCTCTTTCTCACATTCATATCCAGTTCTTTTTTTTTTTTAACATAATCTGTTATGTGTCACTGTGCATATAGACTTTAAAGTATTGGCTGATGTTTGGAAAAGCCTGTCTTTGATGGTGGTTTTTAACACTAACTAATATCCTAAATATTTTACATAGGTCACTCTGCAGTATTTGATTGTCTTGTTCATTTGTTGTTGTTGTCTTTTATTTTTTTTAGCTCCGCTACAGGAAAGATAAAATTCAGTCCAAACAAAAGCCCATCTTCCCGGTGGTGAATGAAGTCAAAGACTTGTCCAGTGGTTGTGCTATTGCTGCTGTCATACATTACTATTGCCCTGGCCTGCTAAGACTTGAAGGTACCAACGAACATTATAACCACTAACTTTAAGAGTGAAAACCACAGGCTTTTTAGTAATTATTGTATTGTTTCTCAGTTTAACACTTCTCTCTCACACACACACACACTCTCTCTCTCTCTCTCTCTCTCTCTCTCTCTCTCTCTCTCTCTCTCTGTAAGATGTGTGTATGAAGGATTCCATGTCTGTAGCAGACAGCCTGTACAACCTGCAGTTCATCCGTGAATTTTGTGACAGCTGCCTGAAGTGCTGCTGTCACTTGGCAATGGAGGACATGCTATACACACCACAGGAGCTTCAGGTACTTACATCCACGCTCCTGGTCATCGATCGATTTGACACAATAACAAAAAATACTGAGCACTGTATTGTCTTCCTAACGCCTGACATATCCTGTGTGGTTTGTTTAGCTCAACTTGCTGAGTTTCCTAGCAGAGCTGCTGAACTGGTTTGAAGTACGAAGGCCAGAATTTGTTCAGCCAATAGACACCTTGGGTAAGTGTCACTAATTTTGTGTTGCTTTGTAAACACTGTGAAATCCTACAAGTAAGGTCATAACATTAAATATCTGAACATGTCATATTAAGGGTTTTCTTTTTTGTTAGATGGATCCACACCAGTGACACCAAGTAGCTTGAGTTGTAACAGGTACAGACGCTCTTTGAATATTATTGTGCTTTTGTAGTAGTCTGGCATATTCTTTGTCTAAACTGAAAGGTTGTTTCTCTGCCTTACAGTACCTCCCCTTCTATCTTCAAGAAGCCTTTCCTCCCCATCTCCTCCCCTGCGTCAGGTAAGATTTAGACGGTCCTATCATCATTACACTGAAGTATTTTGTACATGTTTCTATCATTTTACAGTCTGACTCACCTATTTCTCTCAATGCTTGTTTGTGTTTTAGTTGTTTCATGTTGTATGATGCTCTTGTACTTTTTTACTAATATTTGAAACTTTTTGTATATATTTTTTTCTTTTTTATTGGTGTATTGTTTGCTTGATATGTGCATCCTGTATGTTGTGCATCCCTGTGTGGTGTGCATGCCTTTACATGTCTGTGTGTGTCCCATTGTATTCAGGATCTTTGACTCAGTCTACCTCAATGTCTCATATAGAAGGAGTGGGGAAGACATGGAGCAAGAAACCCCTCAGGTAGAAGCCATATATTCAGTAACATTCAAACACTGTCTTTTGTACTTATTTCTATTGTACTTATACGGTACTTTTTGTTCTTAGCCGCCCCTTGTCTGCAGTATCCTTCAGCATTCCTTTTGGCCTGGACAGTGATGTGGATATTGTAATGGGCAACCCTGTGATAACCCGCTCTATGAGCTCAGACCAACTCAACCCAGCAGGCCAAAATATAACCCGGGTGCCCTACTCCCCTCCTGAAGACCTCAGCCATTTGCTTAGCAAGCCCCCTGGCCCCAATGGCCCGCAGAGAGCTTCCTGGGCCACCCAGACCCCCAGTATTCCAAGGCTGGCAGAGGAGAATGGCCTTGCAGAGAGTGAAACAGGAGAGCTGCCTACCATTGAGGAGGCTCTCCAAATTATCCACAACGAGAGCAAGATGGAGCCTCGTTTACACCCTGATGGTGCTCCTGATGGCTTCTACCTCCACTCTCCTGATGACCCTGCTAGTTCTAGACATAACAGCAATTTAGCAGCCATCAGCTGCTCTGCCCCTTCACGCTCAGGAATGATGTACCGGCCCACAGGAGAGTCCAGGGAGCCCACTCGCACCAGGAACACCTCTGAATGTTCACGTGATGATGATTCAGTCTTGAGAGATGGCAGCGTGGACTCTGATGCATCAGAGGACATGCCTAAGGCCCAGTCCACTCCAACCACACCCGCTGCTGGTGCACATTCTGCTAGGGGCCATGGCAGAGGGGAGTCTGACAGCGGTGTGAAGATGACCAGCTTTGCAGAACGCAAAAAGAAGCAGATTATAGATTCTCCCAAAGCCAGCGACTCCTCTTCTCCTCAGATGACCACGTGGGCACAAAAGTCTGAAGAAAGCCCGAGCAAGAGCCCACAACTCAATAATGAGATGTCTGAGCTGGGAGCTCGGCTTGAAGAAAAACGCAAAGCAATCGAAGCCCAGAAGAAACGCATTGAGGCCATTTTTGCAAAGCACCGTCAAAGACTGGGGAAGAGTGCCTTTCTGCAGTTAAAGAGGGAGCAGCGTGATGACGAAGGCGAAGGGGAAGGAGCAAATGGCCAGGTCAGCTCCTCATCCACAGAAGAGGACCTCTCTCGCTTGACATTGGAAGAAAGGCTAGCTCGCATGGAGGAAGAAGAGCAGCAGGAAGAAGATGAACAGCACCCCTCAGTGGGGGATGAGGGTAATGTCAAAGGGGGACTAAAACTCAACAAGCAGGTCAGTCACTCCAAAGAAAAGGCAGGAACACCAGGAGAGAAGGGCCCTGGGACACCAGGAGAGAAAATGGTAGCGCCACTCGGGGACTATAACAATGCTGTATCAAAGCTGACTGCAGCTCTCAGCTCCCTGCAAAGTGACATGCAGCGGCTGACCGAGCAGCAGAACCAGTTAATCAAGAAGAAAGCTGTAGCTCCCAACAACAAATCCTGGGTTATTCCAGCCAGCCCTAAAACCTCCACCCCAGCCCCTACACGCATGTCTCGAGAATCCACCCGAGATTTAAATTCAGCCTCCTCCTCTCCGTCTCCATCACGTAGAATCACAAACCACACCACTCCTCCTAAATCTCCTCAAGTCCATCGTAGAGCCCAATCTGTGCCCCCTAAGAGCCCCAAACACCACCACCAACACAGTCGTCCCTTAGACATTAAGGTCCCAACCCTATCAAGGGTTCTCACCCCACCTCAAAATGTGGACCGTATCCCCCACCTTCGTCGCGTAAATCCCTGGCAGTCCCAAGTCCAGACTTCATCTTCATTCTCCATTGGTGACTCTGGGAGCCTGGATGAGCTGTGCTCATCTGGACCAACTCCTGTTCCCACACCGACACACACACCTCTACCAACACCAATACCTACCCCAACTCCCCGTCCTACTGCAGATGACACTCTGTCGGAGGTAGGCTCCAATGACGATCATAGTATATTTAGCATGGATCTGGAGGCAGGGTCCTTACATGGTCTTGCGTCTAAGAAGGATGGGCTTGCAGGTGGGGGCTGCAGCTCTGGTGCCCCATCAGAGTGCTCCTTCGAGAGTGATGCCCCTGCAGGGATGTTGAATGGCAAACGCAGTAGCCTGATTGAGATCTCGCTGTCTGCTCTGCAAGATGGGGAAGAGGATGACCAAGTACCTGATGCCTTCTCTGACTCAATGAGTGACCGGACGGAGCCAGAGATGAAACCAGGGGTTGGTTTCTTTTTCAAGGTAGGCTTCTAATTATTATCACTGTATGTGCCATTCTAAAAATGCTGTATTTGTGAGGTCAGCGCATTCATGCCTTTTTATTTTGGTCTTTATAATTAGGATGACAAGGAGAGACCGGAGGATGAGATGGCCCAGCGAAAAGCAGCTTTGCTGGAGAAACAGCAGAAGAGAGCAGAAGAGATAAAAAGACGCAAACTTGAGCAGGAAAAAGAAAAAGAATCGAAGTGAGATCCTTTTTATTCAAACACCTGCATCATAAACAAATGAAGACTTTAGCATTTCATGTCTCACATTAAATTAAATCAAACATTTTTATTGGGCAGGTTTGTAAAGTTTGAACAGTTCTATAGTCATGTTTTTGCAGCATATATGTGATGATTAGGATTAATTGATTAACTGTCCCATGTTTAGTAAATTAAAAAAATTGTTGGTGTTTCCTGGTATTCAAACAAGTGGTTTTGCAATGTCATCATCACACATTGAAAGTTTTACACGTTATATTTATGTATTCTCAGCAAGCCTCAGTGGATGATCATTGAGGGCTGGGGGCATAAGAGTGAGGACAGACCCCAGACCCCAGGCACCCCTCCAGCATCACGCACCCCACCAGTAGAGGGCACTCCCCAGCGCAGAGGAGACTTCACTAGGCAGGAGTATGAACGGAGACAGCAGCTGAAGATCATGGAAGACTTGGACAAGGTTCTTAGGCAGAAACCGACCACGGTTCGCGGTGTCAAGAAGCAGAGACCTAAGACTGTGTTCAGAGATGACTCCGTCCTCTCTCATAGCCCTGTCAAGGGCTTCATGGGTAACTAGTTCTAATATTAAAACACGCTGATCTTCGTCTTTATGCCCTCGTTGTACACTCAAATGGATTTGGTTTCTCAATATAATTTCGTTTTCCATTCCTCTTTTCCTCCATCTAGGCACCAGGCTGAACAAAGTATACTCCCACTCAACCATGAACCTGTCCTCAATGGCTAATGACTCTGGAGGCCTGTCTGTTAGGAAGTCTCCTAGGTAACCTACACATTGACAGTGGCACATACAGTAGTCAGGAATATTTAAAGTGCCAAAGAAGTGAAAGTGAAATATTTGTTTTGCACCATATTAGTAAATTTACTATGATAAAGTAGAGCTCAGGAATACATCATTATAATATTATTATCATTATATGAGACTGAGTAATTTTTTGTTCATTTTACTCCACTGAATAATAGTTTAGTTTGTTGATTATGTTGATTGTGTCCACATTATCATTGATCACTTTTCAAAGTATGTTTTTAAAATATGTAAATATCTTCTGCCTCCCCTAAAATATAGTCAGAATATTTATCAAGTAGTTCCATATGCGTGAGTGTGTTTCTGTAGGATTGTATTAACTATAGGTCCTGTGGTATAGTAGCTCTTATCAGTGTTCCAGGGGGCAAAGGCATGTGTACACACAGCCTCAAGGTCTATTAATGACTTTCTTCTCCAAAATATTTTTTGACTCCCTGTAGCCGTTCGCACTCTCCTTCCCGGCTAATGTCACCAGGACGAACAAGCTCTCATAACGGAGAGAAGGACTGGGAGAGTGGTTCCACTATTTCATCCCCTGCCTCAATCCCGGAATACACAGGTATGTGATTTGTTCCAAACTATAGGACTCTCATTTGAAACAAAAAATAAATCCAATAAGCGTTGTTTTGTTGGGTTTATGACATTTGGAAATGCTGTATTTTGCAGGACCAAAGCTGTACAAGGAGCCTAGCTTTAAGTCCAACAAGTTCATCATCCATAATGCTATCACTCGCTGCTGCCTGGCTGGCAAGGTCAATGAACCACAGAAAAACAAGATCGTAGAGGTAAGCCATCCTGATGTGTCAGAGTCCAAAAAGGAGGTCCCCCCTAACTAGACTATGAGCAACTATGATTTCTGTTTTCAGCTGCACTTAACTATTGTTTTTTTTTTTCTTTCTCTGTTTCTCCCTCTTCAGGAAATGGAGAAGAGTGCAGCCAATCACTTCCTCATCCTCTTCAGAGATTCCAGCTGCCAATTCAGAGCAGTTTACACCATGATCCCTGAAACAGAGGAGATGGTGCGACTCACTGGCATTGGACCCCGCACCATCACACCTGAGATGGTAGAGTCCATTTACAAGTACAGCTCTGACCGCAAGCAGTTCACGGTCATCCCGTCCAAAACCATGTCCATGAGTGTTGACGCCTTCACCATCCCTGGTCACTTTTGGCAAAAGCGCCCAGGAACTCCCAAAAAGCTTGGCACCCCCAAATAAAAGACACACACAAGAAGTTAGCATTCAGGGAATCAACTCCCAACTTGACTCTGGTTGTCCTGTATTTTGGCCAGTGAGGCACTTGCGATTGTTCATTACCCAGATAGACTAGCAGTGGACAGCATGACTGAGCTATCAACCTGGACCCCAAGAACAATCCAGTCAACTCTACATGCCAAGAGAAAAGGCCAATCACTCACTAATTCAGCCAATGTAGTTAGAATAGTTTCAAGAGCTTCTGATTGGCCCTAGATTGTAAAAAGTAACGCAACTGATTCTGTTGGGATGAAAAAATTTTCTTTCCCTTGCACCCTGCCTCCCCATGCCTTGCCTTACCCTGCCCCCGGAGTCATTTTTGCGACTCTTAGGTAAGAAAAAGAGGAGACAACCATACTGCCTTTGCCCGCACAACAGTATTCTGGGCCAGAGTAGTTCCTGCCCCTCTCAATTCTGCTTGCTTTTCCTTTTGCTGCCTTTTCTTCTTCTTCTTCTTCTTCTTCTTCTTCTTCTTCTTCTTCCAGGGCTCACTCTCTCTCCAGTCTACTGAGAAAAGTGGCTCAACTCTCAGTTCTGATAGGAGATCTCAGCTGAAAACTAACAGCAGGTAACACTGCTCTCATATGAATGTAGGGCACACACTAACCACTCATTCCATTCAGGGGTGTTTTTACTGGTTGGTTCCAGACCAGAAAATACCATAGTGGGTGGTTCCACTGTGGGCTGCACTGGTGGTGACTATTGTGGTTGTCAGTGGACTTGCACACCTAGAAACTGCCTGTGCCCCCATAGTTCGTGCACTCCACTCCACTCTCCTTCAGCTGTAGACATCTGGATGTTTTTTTTATACTATTTTGACATGTTTTTGCTGGACAAATCGCTTCAGCCTTTGAGAGCTGAAAGAAGAATGAAATTCATGTGACTTTTTCCTCTTAAACTGCTTTCTCATTTTCAACATATGATGAATTGAAATGTTATCTGAGCTTATCTTGAAAAACAATACTGGAAACATGAAGGAGGGCTTTATCATGTTTATCTTTACTCGGATACAGCTCTGTGTGAAAATGATAATCAATGCTAATTTAATATATACTGAATGCTGATTACTTTGATTTTTTTTTGACAATGATTTGTAAAAAGTAAGTTGACCTTTGTAAGCTATGAATAAGCTAGCCTGCTGCTTGAGCATTAGTGAGATGTATGTTTGAGATGAGAATGAGTGAATGAGAATGAAAAGAAACTGTCAAAACAGATGAAAATTGCTGAAACCTTTTGTCTAGGGATTAATAAATCCTTTAGGTCACTAGGAGTCTGTTTCTTATTATATGATTCCCTGTTTGTGTGTATCTGCATATAAACAGTGGTTTTCTTTATAAAGGGTAGTTCCAGACTGTAACAACCTTCATCTTCCCCACACTCTCCAGAGACTCCTTCATGTATAATTGGAGGATTGTAAATGCCAAACTGTTTTTTCTTTCTTTTTTTGCCAGTCCATGCTATGAGGAAAAACACCCGACCCTGCATTTGCTTGTGATTAGGTCAATATCACCACAAGATCTGTGAGAAACTGGCCCTCATCTCTTCCTTTACAATCTTTAGCACTACAGCAGCTGTCATGGTGCAGCTGTCTTCTTTCAAATCACTGACTGCCTCCAACAGTTGTATTGTTTGAATGAGATTCCAGTACAGATGTGAAAAAATATGTCGAGAGCAGCATTTAGAAAAAGTAAAAAAGATGATTGATTAAAAGTGTGTGTGGAGGAGTGCATATGGAATAACTGGATGTTTGTATTTATGTGTTTGTAAAGAGTAGTATGTGGTAGTTTAACACTATATTTTGATTCCGTGCAATTCTCCCCTAGAAATCCCCACATCACCCAGAGGTGTATTTATTTGGTTTGCATTAGATGCATTTGATGTTTAGTTTCAGTTTCTTCTTATGTCTTTTTTTGGTTAAGGTGGTGAGTCACTCATTCATGTCATAGAAGTTGTCATAACATTTATGTTTTCTTTCTCCTCTGTTATTGAATCTGTGCCAGCACATTATGTATGTTCATTTCATAAATTGACTATCCTTGGCAACTGGACCAGACAAATAAAACTCCTTTTTAAATCATCGTCATCTATGTTTTTTCATTCCCATCTTTATTTCGCCATTTGCATTAGCATTATTCATGTTATTAGAATAAAATAAAATTAAAAAAAAAACACATAGGCATAGGCATATGCAAAACCAAATTTCTTTATTCAATGATGCTTTCTTGTTTGGACAGAGGCTCTTCCTGCATTCTAAAACATCATGGTGGTGCTTGGATCTGAATTCTCACATCAATACTGACCAAAACAAACAAACAAAAAAAAAATTACTTGGCTGTGTGACTGTGGTAATACTGTTTATAATGGGAACTTGGTTAAGTAAATATTCCCCCTCGATGCTGAGCCAGGATGACATCACATCTGTGACTGAAGCCATAGGGGCTGTTAAAGGACAGTTGTATCTGAGAGGAAGAAAAGGAGGTGCAAAAATTTACAGCACCTCCTTTTCAGTTGTGTTTGGTGTGAAGCATCTCAGTAAGTAAAGAGTTGCAGGGCAAATCTCCCAGAAGATGGCGCTGGTACAAATACTCCTCAACCTGTAAGCTAATGCTGCGTACCTCCGGCAGCCGGAGCAGCAGCTGACCGAACTTGTCTGAGTGTCCAGGATGAGTCTGCTGGGTGTGCTCCATCAGGGCCCTGTTCACCCTCTCTTGAGTCTGCTCCACCTGCCTGCGGCTCTGCACAGACTTCACATCTATAGCAGAAAGATGATGCATGCACATTCATCATCAACACATAATCCATACACTCAATGTGAAGAGAAGTCGCATGTACGACAGTATCATGACAAGAAAAATGCCCAACTAAACAGCTGCAAAGTTGATCAGAAAGACACTGGGTTACTTCTATAGAGGCGCTAATCACTAGATGTTTAAGAGGAAAAGCTCACCGGGGTTGAATAGCACCAAATATTTGAGACAGACAAACTCATGTCGGTCTAACTGGAGCGACTTCAGTTTGGACACCAAGTCTTGAGTTCTTGATACCAGGCTATTCAGTGTCACTCCTGCCTGAGAGATGATGGTCGACACCTCAATCTGCATCAGAATGAGAGAAAGGTAGTGATTACAAACACATGACTACAATCCGAAGACATTTTGGATTATTATAAGAATGCAGTCTCTTGTACTTTACCTGTTGTCCTGTGACCAGATATATGCAGCCCTCTTTGCCGTAGGTCACCTGTCTACAGAGGTGGTCCAGGACCAACAACTCACTCCAGCAGCTCTGCAGCAGCACCATCTGATCCTCCACCTGTGCGAAGCATAAAAGGTTGATCTGATGTAGCAGCAAATTAGATGCTACAACCTTTGACCTCCAGTAAGCACCCAACGCATAGCAGTGAGAGTAAATGCTATAGGTCTGCTCACACAGCTAAGTAGAGATTTTGTACTATTGCAAAAAGATTTACGTAACACTACACCCCATGACTTCATGGTTCATCACCTTGAGCTCCTTGAAAAGCGCAGTGTTCCTGGCCCACTCCACAAGCCCAAACAGAGTCTGGTCAGCCATTTTGCACATGATGCTGAATGTATTTAGGCGGTCATGCTTGCCTCGGTTGGCCTGTTCTCTCTGCAGGCTGGCAAGGACCTTGGCGCACAGCTGGCTCTCATCCTGATCCCCCTCCAGGAGTTGGCTTAGGAAGTTGGTAGAAAGAGTGGCTGCTGGGGGAGTGTCTTGGGTTTGGATGAGAGCTTGGGAGAGAGGGGTGATTGAGCTTGGTGTTGAACAGGGGGATGATGCTGGTGTGCTTCTTGGTGTGAATGAATTGCTTTGGGTTGGATGCATTGGATAGTTTGCATGAGCTGAGCTGTGGCTAAAATCCATTTCTCCCTTCTCGTGGGCAAGTCCAGGGAATGTGCGGTGGTACAGTCCAGGGCAGGGCAAGGATGGAGGAGTGAGCACCCTGTCTGCGTTCATTGTGCAATCCAGAGGCATAGACGCTCCTGACTGCCCCACGCTGGAGGGATACATGTGGAATTGATGAAAAGCATCAGAGGACAATGAAGCGCTTGTGTTATTGCTCATTGGGTGAAGGTCATTTGGATCTGAAGGCCAGTTTGTTTGCGTAGTTTCCATCTTAATCCTGTAGGGGGCAGTGTTTGCCTGGTGATAAACCCTTTGCTGTTTCATCTGTCTGTCTCGTCGATACAGAGGGCCAAATTTATTCCTGCCACCTCTCATACGATCTGCTCTTACAGCTGTTGACAGGACACGAGACAAATTATTAGGCTTTTACAACCAGATTTCAGACAATACCAGAAATGATTTTGTATATAAAGTGTGACCACTCCACTTTGAGAGCTCAGATAAACTCCACAATACAAAGTCATCATATCTGGGTCATTACAGGAAGTCCTTACACTGGCTTATGACTTCTTAGATAAGTCATATGAGAGAAAAGACCATATATGTCAGTGGAACACCGGGCATGTCGCAATGAAGCAGAATATGTGTCCAATTGTATTGAGTGTATTTGTGTATGTTTCTGTGCGGATGGGGGCTACATTTTTAGTGTGTATGGGGGGACGTACCTTCTCTTTTCATGCCCACTGCCAAACATTTCTGAAAGCGGCAGGAAGGACAACGTTTCCTCTGGGAAAGGTTCACAGGGCAGCTCTGTTGTTCTGCACAGGTGTAATGCTTGTTATTCTGCACTGAGCGTTTAAAGAAGCCCTGCACAGAGAGAAAGAGAAAGAGAAAGACTTCATTCTCTGCAGATTACAAGACAATCCTGGGTGATAATATATAGTTGCAGAAATAATCTCAGTTTTACAGTAGCTGACTATGGTTGCTTGGTGTATACAACAACACCAATGTGCCTTATGGTGCTGTTAGAAAATAAATAATTTTCTTGAACTGTCCAAACCCTGTCTCTTACCTTGCAGCTTTCACAAGTGAGCAGTCCATAGTGGTATCCTGACACTTTGTCTCCACAGACGGGACAGCTCTCTTCTGACTCTGGTGTGCCCTCTGGCTCTGGCTCTGGCTTTAACTCCTGAGCTGCAGAACGAAACCACAGTCATCATTAAATCAAATGTACAATATGACACAAGCTTTCTGCTACTGAAGGTGACCAAGGCAAAATGGCAAATTGCTACTTGTTAACAGATTCCCACTGTGTTGCATTGATTTTGTTGGGAATGATGACTATATTTGGCAGTAATAAAAAAAAAAAAAGAACATCACCATATTCCAATTTGCACTAGCGCAGGTAGTATTTCAAGTCAGCCATGAAAATTCACTCTCTGAGCCAACTGGTTGAAGAGACTGGACTGCTATGCTGCTGACATGTAAGTGTGTCTTTTAATGAAGTTTATTGCTCAGCTGTTGAGAGAATAAAGCACCTTATCACTCTGCTCAATTTGCTTGACTCTGAATACAGATATGACGCTTACATAATTCACCAGATATCACTGCTTATGACTTTCACAGGTACCAGTCTCCCAAATGAAAAAGTGTAGCACAGCCTTGTAAACCACTTTAATTCCAGTCTCTTCTTCTGGATTTTCATGTGGATGTGATAAATGTCTTTTATGTACCACCACATGATTTACATTTCCAGACACTGTTATACCCCAACTTTCAAAACAAGACGTTTAAAATGTTGATACCTTCATAATATTGTACGAGTTACGAGTTCAAACAATATCATCTGACACCCACCTAAAAGGGCACTATCTACCCATAGTTCACTTCCATCTAGAACTCACATGTTGAGGATCCCTCCAAATTTAACAGATTGTCCGGATAGCTGGCAGGGTGGTGGACAAGAGGCTGGGGCAGCTGTGGGTGATAACCGGGTAGGTCCATTCTGGTTTGTGGGACATGAACTCCACAGTCATTCCAGCCTGATCTTCATTGTCGCAGAGATCAGGAGACCAGACAGACACCGCAGGCAGGCCCAACAGCCCCGGTGGACTGATGGTTGTTTGAGGTCCACAAGCGGACTTTGATCTATAGTGAGTGTCATAAAACCTCTCCTACCACTGGCACTCCTACCCAGCCAGTCAGTCAGCAAGCCAGCCGACCAACCAGCCAGCCCCTCCACAGCAGACAGTCAGATAGCCACCTGCTGGATTCCTACTGTAGTGAAATCACTATCATCGGGCCATCCTGGAGCACAGATGATAAGATAAGAATCCACTGAAGATTAATCACTGTCAAAACTACAGCCATTCAACTTTCATGTTAGTTTCTGCATTATTATTATGTTTTGTGGCTCTGCAGTGTAAAAGAAAATACTCCACTATGAGCAAAAATCCTTAATTCCAAATCCCACTTACATATTTAGAATCAAATTAGAATCAGTTCTGACTGCAAAGGGTCATAAAATATCTCAGAGGCATTGTGAGTAGGACATATGAGAAAATAGAAGTTATTTATATTAGATAATTTGAACTCTATGTACCTTTGAACAATAAATGAAATGAAACCATCTTAAGTGTTTAAAGGGGACATTACTCTTTAGTGTAACTCTTAACAACTGATCTGAGATCTGAGATGTGAGATGAGGGTCCCATCTGCATACTTCTTTTTAGTGAGGGGTCACAGGCCAAATTTTTTTTATCCCGTGGTTTAATATTTAGCAATGTGCTGTATTTTATTAGCTGATTATGTAATACATCTCCAATTTACTTGTATGATATGAAGCATCCAGACCCCTCAGGTCATCTGGGACTGGTTTAGTTTCTAAGCTCCTACCTGAGGAACAGATTTCCTGAATACCTGAGATCTGCTGAAACTCTCTGCTAATTTAAATCAGGGCTAAAAACATTACTTGCTGCAGCTTACCAATAAATTACGTTATTACATTAATTACATTAAGTAACATCTTTTTAATCTTGTGCCACCTTTCAGGTGAGCATCAGTTGTTCATTCTCAAGTCAAATGTTATCCAACTTAATAATTAATTCAAGGAAAGGACAATAAAACCTCAAAACATTGCTTTAGTCAGTGTAATACGATATTAATCACAGAGTATGATCATATTGTTCCACATTCCCGGTGCTTGGTGTGATAAGGTGTAGTTCAACAGCAAAAATGGCACAGGCAGCTTTGATGAAACTCAAAGTGACGTCAAAGCGATATGGAGTGTAGTTCAAGGGTGGATGGTTATGACACCTGCACATTAGCTTGTAAATGGATTATGACATTCATCAATAAAATAGCCCCCGTACTATTTTCACCTGTCTGTTTAACTTGACACTTGACACGTTTCTCCTCTCTCAGAAGGTAAATCTCCATGAAATGAAAAATATTCAAAATTCCCTAATGCATGTTACTGAAAAGCCCAAAGTGCTTGGCAGTATGTGCGTGGCTGTGTAATGCTAGTCTTGCTGAACTCACTAGTTCCATCTGCTGGTATTGTAGAATAGCACTGTTCTAAATTAGAGTGAGACCCAGGCTGCGATTGAGAGGTCTTTTTTGCTTAGGAAGGTTCCTAACTGAGTGATATGAACAAGAAGCATGCAAGACGCAGCCATGATAAGAGCTGGTCCAATTCTCTAAATGATAAGGAAAGGAGCTTCAGTGCATCCTATCTTATGTCCTTTGGCATAGGATCCACTGGAACTTCCTTTACGAAAGGAAAGTAAATAATGGTGTGCCACAGTTCCTTGTAGCAGCAATATTTCAAGGACAATTTATGTGCTTTATTTTTCAACTTTATATTCCTTTCATGTTATATTGTTTCAGTATTGATGACATTATACATTATGATGTCACAGTGAAATTGACCTTGGACCATTTGGATATAACATGTCATCACTTCATCATTTTATCCTATTAGACACTTGTATTCAAATTTGTCATAATTAGTTTTGTAATTAGTGACTATTCTGATCAGTTCATCCTTGAGTCCAAGTGAATGTTTGTGCCACTCGAGGCGTTACTGCCATATCATGTTAACGTGAATGGGACGAACGGACAAGCTGAAAGCATAATGCCACTGTCAATGGCTGTCACTGGCACAGAGGCACAACCAGCTGCTTTAAGCACATTTTAGGGTTGGTCCAGGGAGGTGGATCAACCAAGGACAACCACAAGAAATCACTGCAAAAGGTAACTTTATTGAACATAAAAGAAAAACATGAAACAAGCCAGTGTAAGGCCATCATCACAAGTAATACATGGTAAATTCAGAACATACCAATTTTCAAAATCTGGGCTGTCACTGGAAGATTATTCATATGACACAATATGACTTGAAGCAATAGTGAAGCAATAGTCCAGCTACAACATCTCTTCATTTAAGCTGCCATTGCACACAGCTCACAAATATTTAGGAGAAAGGAGCAAAGTTCAATTCCTCACTGCTGGAACACGCTGGATCATCCTCAGCAACAAACCACACCTCATTGTGCCTGTTAAAGATCGTCATTGGACTGCAAGAAACAAATGCATGCATGCACACAGACGCACACAGACACACAGACACACAGACACACAGACACACAGACACAAACGCAATAATTTAATTGCAGAATATGAAATAGTCACCAAACACTTAAGTTTTCCTTTAGGCTTTCCTCAGCGTTTTTCTCTTCTGATTATCATAGAAAATGATGGTGATTTGTTTACCTGTTATATCCAACAGCGTAGTGGAATCCTTTTTTGTAATTTTCATCCACTAAGTCGAGGGCAGTGGACAGAGCGCTTGCTGTGTTGCTGTCAGACGTGCTCGTCATCCATCCACCGTAGCTCCGTGAATACACTTTCATGTCTGGCATGGTCTGGATGTACACCTGCAAGTCAGCAAAGTTTCATTATCTACCAGTGCTTCTGGTAACACTCACAGAATCACTTCAAACATGCTCACAGCAGTTATGATTAAATTAAGGTGAATATGTTTTGATGTTAGAGAAGCCTACCTTACTATCAGTAGGTTTGGGGGGATTTTTCTGACAATCAGCTGGCAGCAAGAAACTCATTGTGTAGACACCCATTTGCCAAAATCTCTTGTCAGGCATTCTCACAATAACAGGAGCTGTCATTTCAATTTTCTTTCCTACAGGTAGACATTGAGAAAACACAACTAATATTTAGAAATGTCACAAATTGGTAACGCATAACAAACATCAAATGCGTATGAAAAGCATAAGAAAACATAAGAAAATATGTATATCTGTTCTGACTTGAATATCCACTAAAACCGCTAAACTGCCCTCTGATCGCAACTAAATACAATAATTATACTGTCATGTCAAAGCATATTTTAATTTTAGCTGCACCACATGGTCACACAGAGTTTGGCAGACTGATTTTAAATACTTCTCTTCCCACAAACAGAAAGATTCACAAAAAATTTTGCACGTTCTCTTGGTTGTTTTTCTGAGATTTAAAAACATTATACTCAAGCATTTTGAATGTATCTGTTTCTTTAGTGTTTTGTATGCAAATTGTGTGCTTTGGTATTTATTGTATTTGTCCATTTTTATAGTGCATGTGTTTATTCTTGTGCACAGGTCTCTCTTCAAAAAGAGATATTGATCTCAATGAGATTACCTGTTTTAGAAATAAAACCTAAATAAATGAGTGGATGCACAAACACACACACACACACACACACACACACACACACACACACACACACACACACACACACACACACACACACACACACACACACACGTACACACCCTTGTCGTTGGTACCAGAGATGTACTCATACAGTCGTCTGAATGCTTTCATTGCTGCAAACTCCATGAAGAAGGAAGTCTCGTCAGTTGAAACCCACTTCACAGAGTCATAGTGACGGGCCTGAAGGACATGAGCGAATGCAGTGGAATGGACTTTTTAAATGTTTTTGGCACCTGAAATGTGAAAAAGGTTTCTCTCTTGCTCCGAGACACTCACCTCATATTCGTCAGTCTTACAAATCAGATCAAACAGCAGGCACTGTTCTGTCTCAGAGCAGAACTGTAACTGAGAGGAGTTCCTGTGAAATTAAAGAGGAAAGAGATTAAGAAGTATGTAAGGTGACACAATAATCAACTGTGCCAAGCTCTTGAGTGAAATCTTTAACTCCTCATTTATCCGTTTATCTGCTTCATTAACTAATATGTAATGTTCAAATTTGAGTTGTGCCTCTAATTTTCTAATAATCAACATTTAATTTCTAAATAACTTTTTTAACTCTGTCAAATGTAGCAGTCTGCCAATATGGGTATTAAATTCAGCTTTCTTACCCAACTCTGGCCTCAGCTGTCAGCACCAGCAGAAAGCCAACAAGTCCTGAAAGATAGATCCTGGGACACACACGTAGAGTGTTGTTATTCAGCAACAAGCCATTTCTGGTCATCCACTAAAAAGAATGCAATCAGAAATTTCTATTTCTATCGGTGACAATCTGGAAAATAAAATTGTACTTACATCGTGACTGAGAGTTGGGTTTCGTGCATTCAAAAACTAGATGTTTGCAGTCTGGTCCAAAGCAACTATTTATTCCAACTCCGGTTATGAAAGGAAAACTGGCCACTCCCTGGACCCACAACACAAAAACCAGACAATGGACTGTCAAGACCAATGGGAAACGAGAGGAACCAGGAAGAATTATGAAACAAACAGAGACAGGTTTGACAGCACGTGTCATTTACATGTTCTGTAGATGAACTTTGGGACTACTCTGTGTCAGGGGGCCAACACAATTTCAGCGATCACTGTACAGTTTAACACAGGCCAGTAGAACAGCACTACAACAAATACGAACTGTGTGAACGAATGATCAGTACTCGGTTTGGCTGCCAGAGAGATGTCAATATCTTTTTATTGACTTTCACCAACATCATATGAAGGTCAGCTAGAAGTACAAAAGTTGTTTTATGTTTATACTTGTGTGCATATGGGTGAGGGAATGTGTGGATACTGACTTGGGTGAGAAACATATAATGCACATGTAGGAAACAGAATTATTATATTGACAAATGTCATCTATCTTTACTGTAAATATGTAAAGTATCATGTTTTTATGTCGTGTCTTTATGAAAACCCCCTTTTGGAAAAACTGTACAGTAACAAAACAGTAAACCTTAAACAAAGAATGACTTGTTTGTTAGCTGTGATTTTTATGTGACATGTTGCTTACTGTTACAGTTAGTCACCCATGCCCCCCCGCCATACCAATAAACTACTACTTTAGATGATATCATATAGAAAACATCGCCCATCAAAAGGAAAAATACTCTAAATATCATCTTTTGTTTTTGTGTCACTTTTTAAGTATAATATTTTCAAAGTGACCTGATTTTTCTTCCTCTACAATCTAATATTTAGCATATGTAAATAATCAATAAACAGTATTTAACAGGATAGCCACATCAGTTGGTATAAACTCACATCATGTGAGGTGGTGGCTCATGTCTCTCAGAACGTGAGTGAAACGCCTAGTTCCCATGCAATATTATTTACCACAGCATTGTACAGAGTCTCCCTGATGACCACCCTGGCTTTAGTGTCACACAGAAACAAACAAGTAGCTCATACAGTAATGATGGTCTTCCTATTTTAGCATTCATGCCACAAGAGAATTTACTTACATTGTACCTTTTGTTGAGACAGACCACATGATACCCTGTTTTGTACCTGCAAAATACCAAAATCCTTGAGTTTGCTCCCATTTCAAGAAAGTGCATTCAACCATGAGACAAAAGAACAAATAACACCCACATGTGCAACAGCCGAGAGAGCTTCTGTGTTCAATCAAGCTGCATGGAAAACACTTCGAACTACCTCAGTTATTATAAAATTGCTTAATAAAAGGTAACTTTGGATGTTTACTTTAAATATTTGTGCCTTGCTGCTTAAAAAGCAATTCTGGTTGTTTTAAGAGGTGTGCATGAACAAGTGTAGGGATTCTATTGACCCTATTAAATTTAAATAATTGGAAATTCTTTTATTAGAATAAAGATAGAGATAGTGAATTGTTCCTCAAGGTCTAATATTAGACATTATAGGATCTGCATACCTTGTGTCCAGTGAATAACTCACTGAAGTAAGAGTTTACTATTAGCTCTGCTAAATTTCATAAGGGCACATACAGGATAGAAACCTGATAAGTATTTCAAACTTTTAGACAGTATTCAATATGAACAAATTATAATTAATACAAACTTCAACTGTCCCATTTGCATAATGTTAGAACCAATGTTTCAATGCATGTCAAATAGGAAACATGTAGAAGTTTATACTTTGTGCAAATTCTTACATAAGCCACCTCATGTTACAGTTATTGTGTTTCAAATTCCACAATACTGCTGCACCTTGATTATAATACTACTGTGAACTACTGCACATAATGTCATAATGAACGACCTGGTGGTAAAAAAAAAGAATCTGTTTAAGCTCCATTTACGACTTCATTATCACTGTTTTGTAAATGAACATTGAATAGGGGTAATGTAACCTGAGTACAACAGCACCTGAGAGTTAAAAGATTTTCTTATTTTTACTGAAGACAACCAAAGGGGAGAATATAGAAAGATACATGACACCCTCCCTCAGGCCCCAGCCCAACTCTGTTTCCCAAGTGTTAGAAAACCACATATATAGCCACAGTACATGTGAACAACAACGTGAAACTTGGGTATCAGCAGGTTAGACAGCTGTTAAAATACAGAGAACATGTTTGATGAACTAGTGTTATAGATATGGTCTTACTTCTCCACATTAAATAACTCCTCTTCTTTTTTATTTCTGACTATAGTTGAAGTTACTTTTTCTACAGTTTCTGTTTGGAATCATGAAAGTAAAACATGTCCATTTTAATCAAACATCTACACTTCTGTTTTGTTTTTTCAAAATTACACACACCTACATACACAGAGCTGTGTAATTCAGTTTATCTGTAAAATAGGAAAACCATGGCATTTATATGTGAAGATTTTAAATTGGCACCCTCTAGTGGACATCAAAAGTCATAGCTGTCAGACCCACATCATGCCTGTTTGGCTGTTTTGATATTTTTCTCTTTCTTGATTCTTCTGTAGTGAAATTCAAAGGAGTTTCTAGTCTTTTTTGATAATTTTCTACCCTTACAGTGGTTGAAATATTTTTGAACAATTGACAGCAGTTACATGAGCAGGACTAACGTGAGGTATTACAGAATGACTATACTATGACATTTTTATTCATTCTTATGCCTTACTATACTCTGTCGTTTTTATGATGTTTAATGCCTTACTATACTATAATGTTTTCATGACTTTTTATGCCATACTGTACTACAATGACTTTATGCCTTATTATAATGTCATTTTTATGACTTTGTAGGACTCAATATATTATGATGTTATTGTCTTTTTTCATGTATTACTATACTATGTCGTTTTTATGACTTTTAATACCTTACTATACTGTGACGTTTTAATGCCTTTTGATGCTGTACTATGACGTTTTCATATATTACTACATTATGTCATTTTAATGACTTTTCATACCTCCTATTACATTTTTGTGGCTTTTTATGCCATACTATACTATGATGTTTTTATGACTTTTTAGGCCTTACTTTACTATGACGTTTTTATCAATTTTTATGCCAACTACTAACTACTTTTTATGAAGTTAAATACCTTACCATACTATGATGTTTTCATGACTTTTTATGCCTTTTGATGCCATAATGTGACGTTTTTATATCTTATTATACTATGTAATTGAAAATGACTTTTCATGCCTAACTATACTATGATGATATTTTGCATTTTTATGCCATAATATACTTTGATATTTTTATGACATTTTTAAGGCCTTACTATACAATGACATTTTTATCCATTTTTATGACTTATTTTACCACGGCGTTTTCATGACTTTTTATGCCTTACTGTAGTACAATGTTTTTATCTATTTTTTTGGCTTACTATAATATGACATTTTTATTCATTTTTATGCCTTACTATACTATGTGTCATGGTTTGCCATGGTGGACATTTTAGGTTTGAATTTATGTTTGGACTTCTGTCACTTCCTGTTTTATTTTGTAGTTTCCTTGTGTGTCTCAATGTTTTTACTTCCTGTCTTGGTCCATGTTTGGTAATTGTCTGCTCCACCCTAATCTGTTTCACCTGTGTTCAATCACCCTTGCCTCCCTTGTGTCTATATAGTCTCTGTGCTCCCCTTTGTGTGTGTCAGTTCGTCTGTTCATGTCTGGTTTGTCCTCGGTCTGTTCATGTTGCCTGTTCTAGCGACTGTGGTGTCCCCTGTGTCTCCGGTTGTTGTTCCTTGTGTGCCCTTGTGCTTCGTTTTCCTGTTCTGGTGGTTCACCTGTTTTGTAAGTTCTTCAGTTAATAAACATGTTTGCACCTCATGCCCCTGTGTTGGCTGCATTTGGGTCCAGCCTTACTGTCACTGTGACACTATGATGTTTTATGCTTTTTTATGCCTTCCTATACTATCATGTTTTTATGCCTTTTAATGCCATACTATAATATTTTTATGACATTTTTATGCCTTACTATACTATGACATTTTTATACCTTACTATACTATGACGTTTTTTGACATTTTCATGCCTTACTATACTATGACGTTTTTTGACATTTTTTTGCCTTACTATACTATGACATTTTTTGCCTTATGACGTTTTTATGCGTTACTACAAAAGTTTCTTGAAAGGATATGTTGGTGGTTCAGTGGTTAAACCTCCTGCCTTTCCATCTGAAGATTGTTGCTTCAAGTCCTACACGTGGCCTACCTTATGATAATTTGTCATTTTTATGCCTTACTATACTATGATGTTTTTATGCCTTACTATAGTATGACGATTTTTTGACATTTTTATGCCTTACTATACTATGATGTTTTTTGACTTTTTTTTGCCTTATTATACTATGACGTTTTTATGCCATACTACAAAAAAAATTCTGGAAAGGCTATGTTGGTGGTTCAGTGGTTAAAGCTCTTGCCTTACACTCTGAAGAGTGTAAGTTCAAGGCCTGTGCTTGGCCTTACTTACAATAATGTCATTTTTTGTCTTACTATACTATGACGTTTTTTGACATTTTTATACTTTACTATACTATGGTGTTTTTTGACATTTTTTTGCATTACTATACTATGACATTTTTATGCCTTACTATACTATGACGATTTTTGACATGTTTATGCCTTACTATACTATGACATTTTTATGCCATACTACAAAAATTTTTGGCAAGGTTATGTTGGTGGTTCAGAGGTTAAGGGTCTTGCCTTACAATCTGAAGGCTGTGTGTTCAAGTCCTGGACTTGCCCTACCTTACTATAATATAACATTTTTTGCCTTACTGTACTATGACGTTTTTATGCCTTACTACAAAACACTCTTAAAAGGATATGTTGGTGGCTCACTGGTTAAACCTCTTGCCTTTCCATCTGAAGGTTGTCGGTTCAAGGCTTGGGCTTGGCCAACCTCATGATAATTTGTCATTTTTATGCCTTACGATACTATGATGTTTTTATGCCTTACTATACTATGACGATTTTTT